GTTGACCTGACCTGACCTGACCCGACCTGGTCTAAATGCTTAAAGACGTCATCTGTGATCAAAACTAACACGATATTCGTGATCAGCACCCCGAAAACCCCCTTAGCAGCCACACTTTACGACTTTCTAACAGGTCCCGATTTTCCCGACCTTGGGTCATTGACCTGACCTGGAAGGTCAACCAATGACCTATAGGACCTTAAAATTGGGTATCATCGGCTTTCTCTCGTCACGGGCAACACGCTCGTTTTTTCCGCGAAGCTCTAGCTCAATCAGGGGCCAAACGGCAAGGGGGGGTCCAACCGACCCCCCCCCCCCCCCTACACATTTTCTTGTAGCGTCGTTCATAATTGCATTATTCCACATTTAGTAAATGTCTACATGTTTCGGGGTAACACCGACCGTTGGGTAACACCGCCCGAGCTCAGCAGGCAACGAAATTTTGCAGATTGCTGGACTATTAACCCTCGCCGGCACAGGCCATTTTGAGTCCTTCGACGGCACAAGGGGGGGGGGGGTTGGTACGACCCCCCCCTCGCGTTTGGCCCCTGATCGAGCTAGAGCTTCGCGGAAAAAACGAGCGTGTTGCCCGTCACGAGACGAAGCCGATGATACCCAATTTTAAGGTCCTAGATCATCGGGTGACCTTCCAGGTCAGGTCAATGACCCGAAAACCGGGAAAATCGGGACCTGTTAGAAAGTCGTAAAGTGTGGCTGCTGTGGTTTTCCGGGGTGCTGCTCACAAATATCGTATTAGTTTTGATCAGCGATGATGTCTTTAAGCATTTAGACCAGGTCGGGTCAGGTCAGGTCAGGTCAACCGGTAGGGGTTGTGACGGGTATTCGTAATGCGTGTCAACCGCCTCGGACAGCTTCGTAACCTGTTACGAAGGCACCAAAACTACTTTGTAACTGTTCAAATGGTTGCTAAATTCGAATTCAGCTCCAAAAACTAGCCTAGAAACATGTAAAACTCGAAAAAGTGAACCGAGGTCACCCGAGGTCACCAAAGGTCAATGACCTGACCTGACCTTCAGGTGACCTTGACACCAACCCTAATGCATGGGAGCAACATCAAATAACATGTTTGAACGTTTGAAACCACGAAAAGCTTGCAAACGCGCGGCTAATGCGAGCCGACATGCGCCGAACCGCGATTTCGCCCAAACATGGTCACAGAAAAGAGGTCACAGGTCAAAGGTCATTGGGGTCAGGGTCATGAAATTTTCAGCGTAGGTGTAAAATTGATCAATGCGAGGGTACTGAAAGTTTCGTCGCGATCGGCCGCTTTTTACGCGAATTATTCGCGAAAAACCTTAGGGGGGGTTGCATCACCCCCCCCCCCCCTGTGCCGGCGAGGGTTAAGTTGTTCTTGTCATCGTAAATTTTGAGGCGTTTTAGTATATTGATAAAATACAGTGGAAACGATTTTATTATATATCCCTGGTACAATATAGTACTCATTTATAGAACTAGACGACAGGTCCCAAAATTTCATTTTCTCGAAATTTTTCATTATCCTCTCAAAAGAAAACATAGCAACAACGTTCTTTCTTTATTTGAAATGCGCCACTCCTGGGTTAGGTGTCACAATGTGCTATTAAATACCAAATTTCCCAAGTAGGCGGTGTTACCCAAGTGCCTGCATTTTTCTAAAAAATCCTTCAATATGGCAGCACGACAAAAAAAAATTCGCTCGAGCAGGAGCACGTAGTACGTACCTAATGCTTGGATGAGTCCTAATTATGGCATAAAATGCTACTTCAGGACTTATGTCTGTCAAAAAAAGATAAGTTTACTTCTGCTTATTATGCTATAAAAAGTATAAAACGTATTCACGAAACGCAAAATAGTAATTTCTCGCAAATCACCTAAACCAATGCGGTACACTATACCCATACCTGCTAGCTTCTGTTGACGTTACGCTGCCAAAAGACAGTCAGCTGTCGCCCTATAGACCTTTTTATATTTCTGATATCGGGGTGGGCGGTGTTACCAAAAGGGCGGTGTTCCCCTATCTTCGCCTATTCAAGATTGATTAGCTAAGTCATTGATTGATAGTTTCTACTTATAGAAGAATACCTAGTGAGTGCTATGAAATCAAATATGACATTCTTTTATTAAGTATGGTGAATAACTGGGGATGAGTTATGCTGACGGAACTTTGGGCTTGGCAGGCATTGGATTCAAAGTGGCTGAGTGGTTATAAGTGGTTATATCCCTCAGATCCCTTGATGAAACATGCGTGGCGGATGCCACGTCTGGCACACATTTTACACGATAGTGACAGAACAGCAAGTAACAGCATGGGCGTGAGCGTCTTCGGCTTCGCACGAATGCAACATGTATCCTCCCTCAAGCTGATCCGAATCCAACTAATCGTGTGACACATCTCTGACCCGATTCTGCCTCCAAATCAGCGGATTGACCCGATCCGATTCAATCCGATACAACCGGAAGACCGTTCTGCCCCATTACACTGTCTGTATGGCGGTACAGCGAGGAGCAGTAGAGGCGAAACACCTTCAATTAAGGGGGGGGGGGGCACTGCCGACTTTTGGTCCCATTCTTTCCATGCAACGCCCATAGGGCTTATGTTAAAATGCCAAAATCAAAGGGGGGCACAGTGCCCCGGTGCCCTCCACGTTCCGCCGCCTATGACGAGGAGCACCCCAGGTCACCGCCCACACCGCGTCTCGGAGTCTCCTTGTCTCTCACAAGTCTCACATCCCATCAGATATTCGGCATCCGGGAGAGGTCACCGTCGCCGTGACCCGGACGACCTTTGACTGTGTTTAACGCTCAGAAGACACCAGCGGGGACTAAGGGGGACTGGGAGAGGATTCCCCGACGGAGGACATATGGGGGAGCCCGGCGTGGCGGGAGTTTTGGACAGTCCTGAGGTCACCTCGGGGTGGGAGTCACTCGGGAGGAGTCACATTGGGTCGGGCCGGTCACCTTGGGAAGATGGCATCAGTGAGAGGATAGAAGGCACTAAATGGGACTGGCCAGGATGTAGCGGGAATGGCCCGGGAGAGTAGGTACCTACATCAGTTGGGCAGATATGGCAGCTGCATTTATTCATGGAGCTGCCATATTCTTATCTCATCGCCGTAACAGTTCTGAGTTCTGACGGATACCTAGATGGACAAGCATGATAGCTGACCGAACGATGGACCCAAGTTGGACATATTTTGGACGAAAATTTAGATGATTACGAATTAATATTCGATGGCTCATAATTGAATGACAATGGTTTGAACTTTGAAGAGGCTTACCAAAATGCAGAAAATGATGAATTAGGTATGGAGCAAAATGGTTTCCGCCCACAAAAATATTGTTCACAAATCGCACCAACTGGCTCATCAGAAATTGGCGTCATATTAGGCACCTATATCGGCGTGCCCCGCGGTCACTCATCGAAATGGGGAAGGGGCGCTTCTGCTGTGGCGGTCCTAACTACTGGCTACTGCAACAGCTCACTGATATCCACTCTGGCTGAACTAACTGACTTCTGAGACAGTGTTCCATCGCCACCTGAAACTGTACCTATCCGAAACGCCGACTGACGTTTACTTTTACGCCACAAATAGGTAGGTACTGGTAGGTATTTAGGCATTCACTTGCCAACACGAGCGCATCAATTAACCAGCTAAAGATCGGGAAAGCTGCGTATGGGCTTTTCCTCAGTTACACTTCTCGGAACGCTAACGCTGAACGCTGCCCGTTCCCGCAGCCCAGCCCTCGTCCGTCGGGATGTCGCCTCACGTATTTCCGGTTACGTCCGCCCTCCCCCCCCCCCCATCACCGGACCTTGGAGCAGACGTACGCCTCAATCTCCTCTCCCAGACGCCGACAAAAGATCGGACGTGTCCCCCGCTGAAAAACGGCAGCGCCATACGCACGCACAGTGCGCTGCAGCGGGGTTTGCCGTCGGTCCGGAGGGGCGGATGGGTGATGAAAGAGCTCCCGCCAGGTCGACGCGACGCTCTGCGGTGTGCGACTCAGAGCGACCCTGACCCGAAGAGGACCCGGAGCGGAACGGACGCTGCAGAGACGGTACAGGGTAGCCGTCGGCCGCGGGATGCTGCCGGGGAGACGTCCACGCCACGAGCGGAAACGGAACCAGGAAACGGGCCATTGTTCTGTATACGCATTACGTATTCGCACGGTGTCACACGGCTCGGTCTCTCCAAGAGCCTGTCGACCGGGATGGGGCTGGTCTTGCAAGGTATCTTGAAGATGTGAAAAGTTGGCTAGAACATACCTATTTATCGCTATCCAAGAACAACTTGTCTTGTAAATTTGATGACTATCAACATTCAACGCCAAAATTGATTAAGACGGTAGCTTGAGGAAGAAACTTGGAATCGATGTCCGAAGCTAGGGTAACCAATTCATCAAGGAGAAATTGGGTTCGCGCACTGTCTGGTAGGTAATAATTACAGAGTAATAGTCGTTTTCAACTCACAATAGAACAACAACAAGCTTTTGCGTTGATATCCATGCGTCAGTCCTAACCAAACGAGAGAGATTAGTATTGAGTACCTAGTACCCCGTCCGCCTCTATTGAGTTAGAGATTTGCTGGAATGCATTCTTTTCACCAAACGCTTGATGCCTGTTTAGAAGATACCAGCAACTTATCACCCCAGTTGCCAGGCCAATGCGGTATTGATTTCTCCAATGATTCAATGTTCCCGATGGTGATTAGTCCGATAAGTCACATAGTTCACAACCATCAGCGAAAAAACTTAACAAAAGTGGTCACTATTGTGCGTCGACTTTGACAGAGCAATGGATCCCGTTTGAGTCAGGGCCTGGATCTCCTCGAGTCACGGGCTTGCATTTAACGAAATAAACAGCACAGAGGGACGATGGTTGACTTCCATTGCGGTCGAAACCACCACCACCAGTAACATTTTAAATGGTATTAGCAGTGCATAGCAAGTTATATCGATTATTCAAAGCTGTTTCTACACACCGGTATAAAATACTCCGCTTTAGGGTAAGACAAACGTACATTTGCATTCTATATTTGTAGACCCCAAAAGGTCAAACATTTTTCTTATTGTAAAGGAAAGTAGTTGGGCAAAAATCACACCAAACACTTCAGTACATATAATTTATCATGAAAAGCAACAAATGTTCCATAAAACGGTTTCCATTACGCGTCAACAACTACGCTTTGTGTCCAACGTACGCAAACAACGTAACGCACACCAAACATTATTTTGACCTTGAAGAATCACAGCCATCGATCATATACAAAACATCTTAAAATCATCATAAACAATCAATACGAATTAGCTGCCCAGGCGTATGAAAAGATTAAAACTGGGTAACAGGCTCATTGACTGCACATTTTCCACATGACATGACATGACTGACCCGGGATCAATCATAAAAAATGTCTACACCAGTCAGCATTCACTGCTGAGTAGACGGTGGTGTGAGGAGCTGGCCGGTAGTAGGTGATGCGGGCGACACGAGCTCAACGGGTGTCACCGGCAGCAGCGCCGCCACCTCTAATACCTCCAGTGCAGGGGGCGCCGCCGGGCCGGCCTCCAGCGCAGGGGGCGCTACAGGACAGGGCGCAGACAGCGGCACCGCCGGAACCACCGCCTCCGACCCGTCCGTCGGCCGTAACTCCACGTGCAGCTGCATGTGTGAGCGCACGTGCGACCTCTGCGAGAACCGCTTCTCACAAAGAGGACACGAAAACGGTCGCTCGCCTGTGTGCGAGCGCATGTGAACCTTCAGCTTGTGCTGCGTCGGGAAGCCCTTGTCGCAATGCTCACACCGCGCTGCCACCTCCCTGTTGTGAACGAATCGCACATGCCTCTCCAAGATCTGCTTCCTTTTAAATGCTGCGCCGCACGTGGTACACACGTGCGGCCTCTCCTCCTGGTGCGACAGTTTGTGGGCGTTCAACGCCGAGTTGCACGTGAACGTGGCGCCACACACCTCGCACACGCAGTCTCGCTCGGCGCTGTGCGCGGACGCCAGGTGACAGCGCAGGATCGAGTTATAAATGAAGCGCCGAGGACAGTGTGGACACGGGAAACGAGCCTCCACTGCGCCGTGACGAACCATGTGCTGCTGCATGGACGCCTTGGACGAGAACATGGCCGGGCACTGGTCACACGCGAACCGCTTGCCCTGGTGTTTATATATGTGCACATTGAGCGCATTGCGGGTCTTAAACGAACTATCGCAGCCCTCCTCCGGGCAGGTGAAGCGTCCCGCGCCGGCCGAGTGCGTGAGCGAGTGTTTGTTGTAGCGTTTCTGACCGAGGAACTCCTTACCGCAGACGGGACAGGTGATGGTTTTCAACCGCTCCGGGAAGTGCACGTAGCTGCGGTGAGTGGAGAGCGCCGGCTCCGTGCTGTAAACCTTGCCGCACAGCTCGCACGCCCACTTGTTGAAGTGGATACCCTGGTGTTGGCGCAGCGCAGGACGGGACGAGAAGCGCCGGTCACAGTGTGAGCACGCGTACGGCCGCGCGCCCGTGTGAGAGTTGACGTGGCCGTCGAGCGCGCGCCACGTGCGAAACTCCTTGCCACAGGTGGTACATTGTTTGCCGGAGGACCCCGAGCGGCGGATGGAGGGGTCGTCAGCCGTGGTGCTGCCGGTCGCCTCGTCGTCCGAGGCAGGCACAGTCTGCGAGAAAAGAGGGTCAGAAGATGTGAAAATGTAACAGACAATGCGGATATCATAAATCTGTGTCGACAAAAGGTCAATATCATCAAATGACAGGTTTATGAGGTGGTCATTCGGAATTAGAGCACACTGTACTAATTCTAAATCAATTTTAAACCGCTTTATCCAGTCTAGCGTGGGCTCAGACACATTGACAAGCTGCATCTGCCAGCTATTTCGAAAAAGCAAGGACAGCACCAGGCACGTATCGTGATGAATAAGAACAATGATTGAGGACAACCAACCTCAGAGATTTCCTCCGTCGTGTTCTCTTCTTTTTCACCGTGTGGAGGACTGACGGCACATTTATCGTTTTTGGAGTCCAGCTCATCATCTGAGAGCGCCGCGTTGGCCCCGTTCACTTTGTGACTGGTTAACTCCATATCAAGGCCAACAGACTGGAACAAAACACACCATGGTATTAAGTGCACTATTAATCAATGAGTTTTAGGGATTACATATGATGAAGAAAAAAAAAACAATGCAAAAGCAAAGAAAGGAAAGTGAGGATATGCTGAACACAGACAAAATTTCTGCAATTTACATATCTAACTTTAAATAAAAAAAAACTTTAAATATCATTCAAGCAAGTCACAGTACCTAATAACACGACGTTCATTAAGCTGGGCGAAGCTCAACTCAATTTGTACATTAAACTTTGTATCTAGCCTGGCGTGCAGCAGCCGACACGGCACACCGACCTGTCTCTTCTGAGCGCCCTGCCGGTGGCGGCGCCAGAACAGCCGCTGCGCCGTCTCCAGCTCTCGGCGGTGGCCATCGATGGCTCGCAGCAGCTCGGCACACGCGCGGCACAGCCACAAGGGCGCGCTGTCGGCACCGAGCAGGGTGGCGGCAGCACGGCAGGCCGCCTCATCGCCAGCAGACGCCTCGGCCACCTCTGCCGCGCATACCTCACACGCTGAGCCTTGTTCTGACATTGACACGACCTCCGAGACCCTCTCTGAAGCTGTCAGAACCTCTGACGGGTCGTGTGGTGTGACAGACTGGAGGCTGGCCATTTCACACAGCCCCAGCTAATGTTGTCACAGGAGATGCACCCTGATGAGGCTAAGAGCTGCCTGGCTGTAACAGGGATGAGAAAAACATTATCCGCAGTCACGTCAGCCACTGCTGGCCTGGCCAGTGCTGTCAGTTACTTATAACTCAGTTAAGTTAAGCCAGAAGGGGTCAAGAGGTTAGGGAAGGCATTACAATTATTGAAGATTGAGATTTTAATTTGCTTCCAAATTTCTAATGAAGATTAGGGCATCATTAATGCCTGACTTTTGTAATGAAACTCTTATGACACAACAAAACTTCTTGATGTAAAAACTTCCTTCAAGTACACCAACCAGACCTTTCAATTCAAACTTCAATTTAACCATGGTACCAGCCCAGGTACAGATTCTGGGTACCTATTAGATAGATTAATTACCTACATCAACTGCCAGGTCCAGAAAAGCAGTCTTGGATGCTGCAGGTTGCAGGGGAAGGGGTCATATCTTTTACAAGTTCCCAAGACTCCTTACCTAGATTCTGATCTTTATGAGCTGCTGTGCAAATTTACCAATTTTCCTTAATTTGAAATTAGCTGTTTAGTCTGTGTATTTTGTTCCCAAAACCTACATTTTTTATATCAGGCACTTTCAGGATCAGGGGAGATAATAGGCCCAAATGCTCCCTGGAGCAATAAGTGGATCCGTCAATCACTTTCAGTACATGTGCATGCTAATATCATATATATAGGTAACATTGCAACGGGTCATCAATGATCAAAATGTGTTGTTGATCTTCTTACTAGTGGTGCTAATCAAAACTTGGACCTTCAGAATTCTGATTTTGTCCAATATCAAATTCGGGGTTTGGAATTTGAATGAAGACAAGCAGGCTGCTTTGGACATTGGAAAATCACTTGCTACACCTTAGTATTTTTAAACAGTAATCATGTATAGCATTGATTGGTAAAAAGAAAGCTTGGTCATCAATTAACACTTTTGGACTGGTAAAAGAACATTCAATGTAAATTAGATGAGTTTTGAGTCATGTTAATTATTGTGTAGTTATCAAACAACTTTGGACAAATAGCTGGCTTGGATATCTTTGGACACACAGTTAACGGGAATGCTGGCCATTGAACACACAGACATTTTATGAAATGGGTAGTTCACAGCACTACCTACTATTCACAATTATTTCAAAATTAAAACGTCAGTTGGCCTTGCTGGTATCGGACATCAGTATTGCTTTACACATCATCATCCGCTATTTTATATGTGGCTGAAAAACTAGGGGGCAACTTCAGGCTGAGAAATAAAGCATTTTCGTGTCCATAATCATAATGGTAAGAGCACAGCCAAGCCCCATCATCGAGAGCGGTCAGCGGCGGGCACACAAGCCTTCCACAAAACAATGCTCACAGGACACAGATCAGTAGGCGGAACTATGGTCAAGCGTACCCATTTTCGGGAACGCATTATCGTTCCCATGTTTGGGAACGATAAACCCATATATGGGAACGCCATGTAGGCATTATTTAAAACACGATAAAGAACCGTTAAATGACGTCCAAAAAATATAAAACGATCGTGAACCGCCTGATATTTGTCTCAATATTGTTGGGAAAGAGTTTGATATTGTAAGGCCCATCCTAGTTTCAAATCGTTCCCCTATTTCTAAAGCAGTCCATCATCCGGGCCGCGAGCCCAAATTTGGGAACGCTCTCGTACACTGGCGCTGCAAGCGTTCCTTATTATGGGAACGGCGTACCCAAAATTGGGAACGATTTCACCGACGCCTTTCAGGGGCTCTTTTCATTAACAAACATTACGTCCAACGCCGCAAATTATTGTTAACGCAACAATCATCAGATGACCTTTCCGGCAAGACCGTCGCATGTTTCGCCCGGTCTTCTGCGCTTTTATTCCCGTCGATCTCGCAGCGGGCACGCCCCCCTCTGCAGGATTACGTAATTCACAACGCTCAGCGATGTTCAACAAGGTCTTCCATACCTATATCCACCGTCCGCGCCGAGGGTGGAGACATGTCAAGCACCTGTCCGTTTATCACCGATAGTTGACGAGCACAAGGAAGTATCCAAAAATGGGAACGCTGAATATGTTACACCCTCAAAACACCTAGTCCCAATGAAAATCTAGTTTTTTCCTTTCTTGATGAGTGTAAGTGGCAAAAGGCCTGGTAGGATGGGCACGAGGAATGATCGAAATCAGCATAAAAATTATAAATAAGCCACACAGAGCGACCTATATAAGAGAAATTCCCCCAAAACGATCACGCTTAGAAACACGGAAGACAAAAACCACGCTCATGACGCTCCTTATAAAACAGCTCTAAACAGCTAGCATCCAAATAAAATATGTCTTTCTGGGATGATAAAATACAGCTGAATAATTTTAAACCACTGAAACTGAGTTTACAACAGTAGTTCGGTAAAATCACTGACGTTCCATGCGGACGTGCGCCCCGACACCAAATGTCACCAATATTACCCCCGGACTGTCCGCGTGTTCGCTTGCATATGTCAGCATCTGGTGTCGCTAGTATGAAACTTCATAACCAGGCGAAAATTATTATACTTGACCTCAAAATGTAAAAAACGCTTCATTTTCCTTAAAATTGCAAGTTAAATGTAGTATAACCCATGTTTTCACCATTCCATCATTTCAAAAAATCATTAAAAATATCATTCGACGGTCAATTTCCTTGTGCAACGGTCAGATTAAAGATAATTTTATAGAGATTTAGTAGATACTTAAATTAGCGTGCACTTTTTTGAGACGTGATGCACTAATGAGTTTTAGTGGGCGAACGGCCGAAAAATTACCTTCCGTTCCCATAAATGGGAACGCCCGTTCCCATATTTGGGAACTCCGTTCCCAAAAATGGGAACGTTCCTATATTTGGGTACTCATGACCATAGTTCCGCCTACTGAGATGAATGAGACTTACGATGTTAATGTGGGCATTAGAAGTTTGAGCAGTTCAGGGAGGCAATTGAATTTATTTTCATGCCTATTTTGAGATAAAATAATTCAATTCAAATCACCCACATTATCCAAACCCAAGGCCGTATCCAAACAAAGGCAATAATCCAAACGCAATCCGCAATCGTGCTAAACTGCGCCAGAACTCGCCGCTGACGTTTGTTTACTAGTCAGCTGGACGTCTGTCAAACTAGCAGCGAGCAGCGAGCAGCGAGTCCAGCAGCGAGAAACGGGCCATCCCGATTTAGCTGAAATTTGGCTCACAGAGCCTTCTCAGCACGCTGATTCCGAAAATCATGGTCTCTAGGGTGGAAATATTGACCGTTCTCGAGATAGAACCCTCTAAAGTTCTTACCATCCATGACCGGGCCATCCCGATTTGGCTGAAAATTGGCTCACAGAGCCTTCTCAGCACGCTGATTCCGAAAATCATGGTCTCTAGGGTGGAAATATTGACCGTTCTCGAGATAGAACCCTCTAAAGTTCTCACCATCCATGACCGGGCCATCCCGATTTGGCTGAAAATTGGCTCACAGAGCCTTCTCAGCACGCTGATTCCGAAAATCATGGTCTCTAGGGTGGAAATATTGACCGTTCTCGAGATAGAACCCTCTAAAGTTCTTACCACCCATGACCGGGCCATCCCGATTTGGCTGAAAATTGGCTCACAGAGCCTTCTCAGCACGCTGATTCCGAAAATCATGGTCTCTAGGGTGGAAATATTGACCGTTCTCGAGAAAGAACTCTCTAAAGTTCTTACCATCCATGACCGGGCCATCCCGATTTGGCTGAAAATTGGCTCACAGAGCCTTCTCAGCACGCTGATTCCGAAAATCATGGTCTCTAGGGTGGAAATATTGACCGTTCTCGAGATAGAACCCTATAAAGTTCTTACCATCCATGACCGGGCCATCCCGATTTGGCTGAAAATTGGCTCACAGAGCCTTCTCAGCACGCTGATTCCGAAAATCATGGTCTCTAGGGTGGAAATATTAGCCGTTCTCGAGATAGAACCCTCTAAAGTTCTTACCACCCATGACCGGGCCATCCCGATTTGGCTGAAAATTGGCTCACAGAGCCTTCTCAGCACGCTGATTCCGAAAATCATGGTCTCTAGGGTGGAAATATTGACCGTTCTCGAGATAGAACCCTCACAGCGAGTCCAGCAGCGAGAAACGGGCCATCCCGATTTAGCTGAAATTTGGCTCACAGAGCTTTCTCAGCACGCTGATTCCGAAAATCATGGTCTCTAGGGTGGAAATATTGACCGTTCTCGAGATAGAACCCTCTAAAGTTCTTACCACCCATGACCGGGCCATCCTGATTTGGCTGAAAATTGGCTCACAGAGCCTTCTCAGCACGCTGACTCCGAAAATTATGGTCTCTAGGGTGGAAATATTGACCGTTCTCGAGATAGAACCCTCGCAGTGAGTCCAGCAGCGAGAAACGGGCCATCCCGATTTAGCTGAAATTTGGCTCACAGAGCCTTCTCAGCACGCTGATTCCGAAAATCATGGTCTCTAGGGTGGAAATATTGACCGTTCTCGAGATAGAACCCTCTAAAGTTCTTACCACCCATGACCGGGCCATCCCGATTTGGCTGAAAATTGGCACACAGAGCCTTCTCAGCACGCTGATTCCGAAAATCATGGTCTCTAGGGTGGAAATATTGACCGTTCTCGAGATAGAACCCTCTAAAGTTCTTACCATCCATGACCGGGCCATCCCGATTTGGCTGAAAATTGGCTCACAGAGCCTTCTCAGCACGCTGATTCCGAAAATCATGGTCTCTAGGGTGGAAATATTGACCGTTCTCGAGATAGAACCCTCTAAAGTTCTTACCACCCATGACCGGGCCATCCCGATTTGGCTGAAAATTGGCTCACAGAGCCTTCTCAGCACGCTGATTCCGAAAATCATGGTCTCTAGGGTGGAAATATAGACCGTTCTCGAGATAGAACCCTCTAAAGTTCTCACCATCCATGACCGGGCCATCCCGATTTGGCTGAAATTTGGCTCACAGAGCCTTCTCAGCACGCTGATTCCGAAAATCATGGTCTTTAGGGTGGAAATATTGACCGTTCTCGAGATAGAACCCTCTAAAGTTCTTACCATCCATGACCGGGCCATCCCGATTTGGCTGAAAATTGGCTCACAGAGCCTTCTCAGCACGCTGATTCCGAAAATCATGGTCTCTAGGGTGGAAATATTGACCGTTCTCGAGATAGAACCCTCTAAAGTTCTTACCATCATTGACCGGGCCATCCCGATTTGCCTGAAAATTGGCTCACAGAGCCTTCTCAGCACGCTGATTCCGAAAATCATGGTCTCTAGGGTGGAAATATTGACCGTTCTCGAGATAGAACCCTCTAAAGTTCTTACCATCCATGACCGGGCCATCCCGATTTGGCTGAAAATTGGCTCACAGAGCCTTCTCAGCACGCTGATTCCGAAAATCATGGTCTCTAGGGTGGAAATATTGACTGTTCTCGAGATAGAACCCTCTAAAGTTCTTACCATCCATGACCGGGCCATCCCGATTTGGCTGAAAATTGGCTCACAGAGCCTTCTCAGCACGCTGATTCCGAAAATCATGGTCTCTAGGGTGGAAATATTGACCGTTCTCGAGATAGAACCCTCTAAAGTTCTCACCATCCATGACCGGGCCATCCCGATTTGGCTGAAAATTGGCTCACAGAGCCTTCTCAGCACGCTGATTCCGAAAATCATGGTCTCTAGGGTGGAAATATTGACCGTTCTCGAGATAGAACCCTCTAAAGTTCTTACCACCCATGACCGGGCCATCCCGATTTGGCTGAAAATTGGCTCACAGAGCCTTCTCAGCACGCTGATTCCGAAAATCATGGTCTCTAGGGTGGAAATATTGACCGTTCTCGAGAAAGAACTCTCTAAAGTTCTTACCATCCATGACCGGGCCATCCCGATTTGGCTGAAAATTGTCTCACAGAGCCTTCTCAGCACGCTGATTCCGAAAATCATGGTCTCTAGGGTGGAAATATTGACCGTTCTCGAGATAGAACCCTATAAAGTTCTTACCATCCATGACCGGGCCATCCCGATTTGGCTGAAAATTGGCTCACAGAGCCTTCTCAGCACGCTGATTCCGAAAATCATGGTCTCTAGGGTGGAAATATTAACCGTTCTCGAGATAGAACCCTCTAAAGTTCTTACCACCCATGACCGGGCCATCCCGATTTGGCTGAAAATTGGCTCACAGAGCCTTCTCAGCACGCTGATTCCGAAAATCATGGTCTCTAGGGTGGAAATATAGACCGTTCTCGAGATAGAACCCTCTAAAGTTCTTACCATCCATGACCGGGCCATCCCGATTTGGCTGAAATTTGGCTCACAGAGCCTTCTCAGCACGCTGATTCCGAAAATCATGGTCTTTAGGGTGGAAATATTGACCGTTTTCGAGATAGAACCCTCTAAAGTTCTTACCATCCATGACCGGGCCATCCCGATTTGGCTGAAAATTGGCTCACAGAGCCTTCTGAGCACGCTGATTCCGAAAATCATGGTCTCTAGGGTGGAAATATTGACCGTTCTCGAGATAGAACCCTCTAAAGTTCTTACCATCAATGACCGGGCCATCCCGATTTGCCTGAAAATTGGCTCACAGAGCCTTCTCAGCACGCTGATTCCGAAAATCATGGTCTCTAGGGTGGAAATATTGACCGTTCTCGAGATAGAACCCTCTAAAGTTCTTACCATCCATGACCGGGCCATCCCGATTTGGCTGAAAATTGGCTCACAGAGCCTTCTCAGCACGCTGATTCCGAAAATCATGGTCTCTAGGGTGGAAATATTGACCGTTCTCGAGATAGAACCCTCTAAAGTTCCTACCACCCATGACCGGGCCATCCCTATTTGGCTGAAAATTGGTTCACAGAGCCTTCTCAGCACGGTGATTCCGAAAATCATGGTCTCAAGTGTGCAAATATTGACCGTTCTCGAGATAGAACCCTCTCAAGTTCTTACCACCCATGACCGGGCCATCCCGATTTGGCTGAAAATTGGCTCACAGAGCCTTCTCAGCACGCTGATTCCGAAAATCATGGTCTCTAGGGTGGAAATATTGACCGTTCTCGAGATAGAACCCTCGCAGCGAGTCCAGCAGCGAGAAACGGGCCATCCCGATTTAGCTGAAATTTGGCTCACAGAGCCTTCTCAGCACGCTGATTCCGAAAATCATGGTCTCTAGGATGGAAATATTGACCGTTCTCGAGATAGAACCCTCTATTGTTCTTACCACCCATGACCGGGCCATCCCGATTTGGCTGAAAATTGGCTCACAGAGCCTTCTCAGCACGCTGATTCCGAAAATCATGGTCTCTAGGGTGGAAATATTGACCGTTCTCGAGATAGAACCCTCACAGCGAGTCCAGCAGCGAGAAACGGGCCATCCCGATTTAGCTGAAATTTGGCTCACAGAGCTTTCTCAGCACGCTGATTCCGAAAATCATGGTCTCTAGGGTGGAAATATTGACCGTTCTCGAGATAGAACCCTCTAAAGTTCTTACCACCCATGACCGGGCCATCCTGATTTGGCTGAAAATTGGCTCACAGAGCCTTCTCAGCACGCTGACTCCGAAAATTATGGTCTCTAGGGTGGAAATATTGACCGTTCTCGAGATAGAACCCTCGCAGTGAGTCCAGCAGCGAGAAACGGGCCATCCCGATTTAGCTGAAATTTGGCTCACAGAGCCTTCTCAGCACGCTGATTCCGAAAATCATGGTCTCTAGGGTGGAAATATTGACCGTTCTCGAGATAGAACCCTCTAAAGTTCTTACCACCCATGACCGGGCCATCCCGATTTGGCTGAAAATTGGCACACAGAGCCTTCTCAGCACGCTGATTCCGAAAATCATGGTCTCTAGGGTGGAAATATTGACCGTTCTCGAGATAGAACCCTCTAAAGTTCTTACCATCCATGACCGGGCCATCCCGATTTGGCTGAAAATTGGCTCACAGAGCCTTCTCAGCACGCTGATTCCGAAAATCATGGTCTCTAGGGTGGAAATATTGACTGTTCTCGAGATAGAACCCTCTAAAGTTCTTACCATCCATGACCGGGCCATCCCGATTTGGCTGAAAATTGGCTCACAGAGCCTTCTCAGCACGCTGATTCCGAAAATCATGGTCTCTAGGGTGGAAATATTGACCGTTCTCGAGATAGAACCCTCTAAAGTTCTCACCATCCATGACCGGGCCATCCCGATTTGGCTGAAAATTGGCTCACAGAGCCTTCTCAGCACGCTGATTCCGAAAATCATGGTCTCTAGGGTGGAAATATTGACCGTTCTCGAGATAGAACCCTCTAAAGTTCTTACCACCCATGACCGGGCCATCCCGATTTGGCTGAAAATTGGCTCACAGAGCCTTCTCAGCACGCTGATTCCGAAAATCATGGTCTCTAGGGTGGAAATATTGACCGTTCTCGAGAAAGAACTCTCTAAAGTTCTTACCATCCATGACCGGGCCATCCCGATTTGGCTGAAAATTGTCTCACAGAGCCTTCTCAGCACGCTGATTCCGAAAATCATGGTCTCTAGGGTGGAAATATTGACCGTTCTCGAGATAGAACCCTATAAAGTTCTTACCATCCATGACCGGGCCATCCCGATTTGGCTGAAAATTGGCTCACAGAGCCTTCTCAGCACGCTGATTCCGAAAATCATGGTCTCTAGGGTGGAAATATTAACCGTTCTCGAGATAGAACCCTCTAAAGTTCTTACCACCCATGACCGGGCCATCCCGATTTGGCTGAAAATTGGCTCACAGAGCCTTCTCAGCACGCTGATTCCGAAAATCATGGTCTCTAGGGTGGAAATATAGACCGTTCTCGAGATAGAACCCTCTAAAGTTCTTACCATCCATGACCGGGCCATCCCGATTTGGCTGAAATTTGGCTCACAGAGCCTTCTCAGCACGCTGATTCCGAAAATCATGGTCTTTAGGGTGGAAATATTGACCGTTTTCGAGATAGAACCCTCTAAAGTTCTTACCATCCATGACCGGGCCATCCCGATTTGGCTGAAAATTGGCTCACAGAGCCTTCTGAGCACGCTGATTCCGAAAATCATGGTCTCTAGGGTGGAAATATTGACCGTTCTCGAGATAGAACCCTCTAAAGTTCTTACCATCAATGACCGGGCCATCCCGATTTGCCTGAAAATTGGCTCACAGAGCCTTCTCAGCACGCTGATTCCGAAAATCATGGTCTCTAGGGTGGAAATATTGACCGTTCTCGAGATAGAACCCTCTAAAGTTCTTACCATCCATGACCGGGCCATCCCGATTTGGCTGAAAATTGGCTCACAGAGCCTTCTCAGCACGCTGATTCCGAAAATCATGGTCTCTAGGGTGGAAATATTGACCGTTCTCGAGATAGAACCCTCTAAAGTTCCTACCACCCATGACCGGGCCATCCCTATTTGGCTGAAAATTGGTTCACAGAGCCTTCTCAGCACGGTGATTCCGAAAATCATGGTCTCAAGTGTGCAAATATTGACCGTTCTCGAGATAGAACCCTCTAAAGTTCTTACCACCCATGACCGGGCCATCCCGATTTGGCTGAAAATTGGCTCACAGAGCCTTCTCAGCACGCTGATTCCGAAAATCATGGTCTCTAGGGTGGAAATATTGACCGTTCTCGAGATAGAACCCTCGCAGCGAGTCCAGCAGCGAGAAACGGGCCATCCCGATTTAGCTGAAATTTGGCTCACAGAGCCTTCTCAGCACGCTGATTCCGAAAATCATGGTCTCTAGGATGGAAATATTGACCGTTCTCGAGATAGAACCCTCTATTGTTCTTACCACCCATGACCGGGCCATCCCGATTTGGCTGAAAATTGGCTCACAGAGCCTTCTCAGCACGCTGATTCCGAAAATCATGGTCTGGAGGGTGGAAATATTGACCGTTCTCGAGATAGAACCCTCGCAGCGAGTCCAGCAGCGAGAAACGGCCAACGGGCCATCCCGATTTAGCTGAAATTTAGCTCACAGAGCCTTCTCAGCACGCTGATTCCGAAAATCATGGTCTCTAGGGTGGAAATATTGACCGTTCTCGAGATAGAACCCCCTAAAGTTCTTACCACCCATGACCGGGCCATCCCGATTTTGCTTAAAATTGGCTCACAGAGCCTTCTCAGCACGCTGATTCCAAAAATCATGGTCTCTAGGGTGGAAATATTGAGGGTTCTATCTCGAGAACGGTCAATATTTCCACCCTAGAGACCATGATTTTCGGAATCAGCGTGCTGAGAAGGCTCTGTGAGCCAATTTTCAGCCAAATCGGGATGGCCCGGTCATGGATGGTAAGAACTTTAGAGGGTTCTATCTCGAGAACAGTCAATATTTCCACCCTAGAGACCATGATTTTCGGAATCAGCGTGCTGAGAAGGCTCTGTGAGCCAATTTTCAGCCAAATCGGGATGGCCCAGTCATGGATGGTAAGAACTTTAGAGGGTTCTATCTCGAGAACGGTCAATATTTCTACCCTAGAGACCATGATTTTCGGAATCAGCGTGCTGAGAAGGCTCTGTGAGCCAATTTTCAGCCAAATCGGGATGGCCCGGTCATGGGCGGTAAGAACTTTAGAGGGTTCTATCTCGAGAACGGTCAATATTTCCACCCTAGAGACCATGATTTTCGGAATCAGCGTGCTGAGAAGGCTCTGTGAGCCAAATTTCAGCTAAATCGGGATGGCCCGTTTCTCGCTGCTGGACTCGCTGCGAGGGTTCTATCTCGAGAACGGTCAATATTTCCACCCTAGAGACCATGATTTTCGGAATCAGCTTGCTGAGAAGGCTCTGTGAGCCAATTTTCAGCCAAATCGGGATGGCCCGGTCATGGGTGGTAAGAATTTTAGAGGGTTCTATCTCGAGAACGGTCAATATTTCCACCCTAGAGACCATGATTTTCGGAATCAGCGTGCTGAGAAGGCTCTGTGAGCCAAATTTCAGCTAAATCGGGATGGCCCGTTTCTCGCTGCTGGACTCGCTGCGAGGGTTCTATCTCGAGAACGGTCAATATTTCCACCCTAGAGACCATGATTTTCGGAATCAGCGTGCTGAGAAGGCTCTGTGAGCCAATTTTCAGCCAAATCGGGATGGCCCGGTCATGGATGGTAAGAACTTTAGAGGGTTCTATCTCGAGAACGGTCAATATTTCCACCCTTGAGACCATGATTTTCGGACTCACCATGCTGAGAAGGCTCTGTGAGCCAATTTTCAGCCAAATCGGGATGGCCCGGTCATAGATGGCAAGAACTTTAGAGGGTTCTATCTCGAGAACGGTCAATATGTCCACCCTTGAGACCATGATTTTCGGAATCACCGTGCTGAGAAGGCTCTGTGAGCCAAATTTCAGCGAAATCGGGATGGCCCGGTCATGGGTGTTAAGAACTTTAGAGGGTTGTATCTCGAGAACGGTCAATATTTCCACCCTTGAGACCATGATTTTCGGACTCACCGTGCTGAGAAGGCTCTGTGAGCCAATTTTCAGCCAAATCGGGATGGCCCGGTCATGGGTGGTAAGAACTTATGAGGGTTCTATCTCGAGAACGGTCAATATTTCCACCCTAGAGACCATGATTTTCGGAATCAGCGTGCTGAGAAGGCTCTGTGAGCCAATTTTCACCCAAATCGGGATGGCCCGGTCATGGGTGGTAAGAACTTTAGAGGGTTCTATCTCGAGAACGGTCAATATTTCCACCCTAGAGACCATGATTTTCGGAATCAGCGTGCTGAGAAGGCTCTGTGAGCCAATTTTCAGCCAAATCGGGATGGCCCGGTCATGGATGGTAAGAACTTTAGAGGGTTCTATCTCGAGAACGGTCAATATTTCCACCCTATAGACCATGATTTTCGGAATCAGCGTGCTGAGAAGGCTCTGTGAGCCAATTTTCAGCCAAATCGGGATGGCCCGGTCATAGATGGCAAGAACTTTAGAGGGTTCTATCTCGAGAACGGTCAATATTTCCACCCTTGAGACCATGATTTTCGGAATCACCGTGCTGAGAAGGCTCTGTGAGCCAAATTTCAGCTAAATCGGGATGGCCCGTTTCTCGCTGCTGGACTCGCTGCTCGCTGCTCGCTGCTAGTTTGACAGACGTGTCAGCTGGATGCACTGCTGGCTGACTTAGGCGGCGTTCGATGTCTCCCGGACGGCAAAGATTCTTTGCCGTCCGGCCAATCCCGTCCAAGGTCAGCGGGGGCTCGGCTGCGGTTATGAAACGTGATTGGCCGAACGGCGTAGAATCTTCGCCGTCCGAGAGACATCGAATGCGGGGCAAGGCCCTATATAGCTGGCTGACAACGGCATCATTACTTTGCTGCCATCTTTTTTAGTCATCTGACAAATTGCTGCTTATGGAGCAATTTGCAATAAATTTCCAATAAATATTTTCCAATAAATATTGGAAATGGGGTCGTTGAATTTATCGTATCCATTTGTATCTAAAACTTTGCAGACATTTCCTTGCATGACCTTCCATGACCCAGAAAGACAAAAAAGAATATTTTCTATGTTAAATTGTTCAAACAATTTTCTTCTTGCCTGCAAAATGCAAGTGAGGAGATGAGATTCCTTATAAAATCAAAAATTGCGTTTCCTAAACGAAATTGTGAGTCGTGACTCAGTCTGCGTTTTCCGTAGCTGATGCAACGATTCCCCGATACACCCTGCTTCGTTGCGTGTTTATGATTTTATTCGGTCTAGTTTGAGTTGTGACGCGTCGGCCCGCTCAGCTATCAACCCAATGTTTGATTACTGAGAGTTGGCGCGACACTAAACAAACAGTGTCGCACTATCAGTACCGGAACTTGCCAGTTGCTGCAACTGGTCGGAATATCCCACTGCACTGCCATTGAGTCAGATGCTTCCGCCCGCGGCCTCGCGGAGGCAATAATAAGCCCGGGCAGGTTGGCACTGCATCAGTTGACCTGCGCACGTTGCTGGGTTCGCTCCGCAGTCTGTGCCCCTCAGACGGAGACTATGAAGCCGTTTACAGTGAAGCTCCTGATGGGAGCTCTCCTGGTGGGTCTGGTCAGCTCCAGTCTGCCTCCCTCGGCCAGCTCGGAACCGGTACGTAGCGAGCTCCAGGTGGTTGAGCTCCTGAGTGATGTCCTGACCGACATCCACACCCGCCTGGTGGTCCTCCACGAGTCGCAGATGGAGCTGCAGCGGAAGCAGGACCGTCTGGCGGAGCAGATGGAGGCCCTCGGGCGGCAGTCTGTGCGGGGTGCTGGCGGAGAGTGCTGTCACTGCCCTCTGACAATACAGCGGAACTGAGCACTGCCCTCGCCCACTGTCTGCTTCAGGTTACCGGGACCGTGGCCGGCTCATCAGGTGACGGCAGATCGCCAGACGCCGCCAACTGTAAGTCAGCAGCACGCCACTGACGATGAGATAAGAATAAGATAATGTTTGATAGAATGGCACTGGAACCCCGTCTTTTGAAGTTATCGTTGCACATTCTACCTGTATACGTTAATAATTGAGGACATCCCATTCGACTTAGAGAGCTTAGCCTGTTCGTTTCTTTTTTCAATGCAGTTTCCGATGTACTATCAATGTTGTAAAACAGCGATCACTGAACGTTCCAAATGAGCCCTCATCTCACAAACCCCGGGCGGTGGCGCTGACCCGCCGATGTCGTATCCCCTCAGGCGGTATGCTCGGCCTGCCGTGTGGGAGTGACGCCGACTGCGCGCGCCTGGGCCTGTCGGCGGCCGCTGCCTGTAACCCTGTCGGCGTGTGCTCCTGTCGGCGCGGCTTTCGACAGGTGTCGGACACAGAGTGTCGGCCGCTCGCCGCGCTGGGCGACTGGTGCCGGGAGGACGCCGATTGTAAGGTCAGTCGACGTCCGTTCTTCTTTGCACGTGCGTGCGTGCGAGCGTTACATTTGGCATCACGATAGCTGATGCCCAAAATTACCTACTGTTGATTCTTACCAAATAAGTAATTATAATAGCTTGGGCTGGGCAATGGGCATGTGATGTGTGCTATACCTGATTTCATTTGCAACCGTTTGTTGATACCGAATTAGCTTGAATCGAATTATTTTACAAACTCGTCACGTCTCCGCCCATGACCATGCTCCTCGGCTGCTTTTATCTGCATGCGTTACTTTGACCCACAGACTCTGACATCTCATGGAGTTTGCCAAGACTACGTTTGCTCGTGTGCCGACGGATTCTGGAACTTCAACAACACAGAGTGCCGGCCCGGTAAGCTTTTATAAGAATAGCTTAGCGAAGAATCCGAACAATGGCAAGAACACACTTGTGCACTTTATGTTACCTATTGATTATAACCGTACCTAATATGTGTTATAGGCCACTCACAGAAACATCAAATCAAATACCTAAGCAGCACTCCATCCATCTGAAAATATTCGTACGGAACATAAGTAAACAGTGACTTTCAACGCCTTAATGTTCATTTATTGTGAATGCGTAAACGTTCATCATGATGCCGGTGCACATTGCAGCAGCCTTCGCTACAGTGTTGAATGTTCTGCAATCTGTATTGTTGATAATTACCTGCATTACCAATGCATATCATTCATCCTCATACAAAGGCCTTTTATTGCAACGAAATCCAGCACTAAAATTGTTTTCACGACGCATTATGATTTCAGTCGGAGCCGTGTACCTGCACAATGCGTGTGTGGGTGACCAGGACTGCTCGTCCGGAGGCCGCTGTGTCTCGGGGACCTGTCAGTGTCCCATCGTCAGACTCGGATACAGTGAGTGGAGGTTTACAGTTGGCTAATACCGTAGTGATGGACTAATGAGATGTTGTGGTCGCTCGTGGAGATCGTATTCAGGTGCGGGAAGACCCTGCATGATTTCCATTTTATTCTGTTTTGACCACCATTCATTGACATTTGTGACTAAAAAGAGTGCGTACAATTAAGAATTGAATGCAGCCAATTATAGGGTGCTTCAAGCCGATCATTTGGCCCGACACTGAGGTGTTATATTTGACCAAGTAGATATACCGAGTGCCTAACCCGAGTGTTGACAGTTGACGGACGCTAAGCTTACCCCAGAAATGAGCTGACCGCGGTACATACGTCGTTTCAGTCGAGTACCGGCTGGTCGGAGGCGGCTCGTGCAGCGATGGTTGGGTGGAACTCCGCCGCGGTGGACCCGATAACAAATGGGAGCACGTCTGTCCCGGTAACTGGGACTCCACGGACGCCAAGGTCGTCTGCAAGAGTCTCGGCTACGGGTAAGACATTTAAAAATTGATGTTGTGGTAAGAAAGCCGTTGAATGGTTGCTCGATCAAAAAATCGTATGATAGATGAGCTTGAGCACGTAAGAGCGTAGGTATAATGTTTGGCAGTCATATCGGACAAAAATGCTTACAGGCACTGTCATAAAAAAATATTGCCTTAGAGTGCGGCCGTAAAAAAAAAAACGGAATGAGTGTGCCTATGCGGGGCTACGATTAGGTATTTATTTCACAACTTAAGGTTGCAGTTGTTTTGTATGCACCAGCACGTAATAGTATTTAAGCCTCTAACATAAAATGGAGAGGCTCGTTTTTTTCATAAAAAAAAAATCGTTCGATCTAAAAATATGTTAACACGCGCAGTGGAAGGGGGGGCGGATTTCGCCCACCCCTCCTGTTTTTCGCCAATAACTCGCGCCGCAAACATGATATTAATGTGAAATTTTGGCTACCTGTCCAGAATTGAACTGCGGATCTTCTCGTGCAAGAAATAAAAAAATCGGGTCACAACTTTTCTAGTAATAGCGGTGTAAAGTCAAACATCCTGCCGCCGCGGCGGCGCGGCGGCGCGGCGGCCGGCGCTAGCCGTTACGCGCCGCCTGAATTGTAGACTGTGCCGGGGCGGGACGGTTCGGTCTTTACATCGCGCTCCTTACCGCTGATTATATTCGATTCGCGTCAATTTTTGTGAGAAGACTAAGAAATGTACAGGCAATCTTATGGTCAAAGAATTTTGAAAATCGGCCGGTAACAAATGAGTTATGAGTGTGTAAACACAAAATTGTGATTGCCGCGTTTCCCGCGTCCTCCGATCCCGCTTCAGCCAGCGACATCTTACGCTTAGCAGTCTTCTGTCATATTTATCGTTGGATTAACAAGAAATTCACCATACATACTCACAAATGTATGTTCTTTCGTAAAGTGAATAAAAAAAGAAAATCGGCCGGTAACTTTTTGAGTTATCGGCGTATAAACGCAAAAAAGTCGCTAATATGGCAGATTTGACCACTTTTGACCTTATTTGACCTTGAAGATATTGACTTAGGGTCATGAAATTCACACACAACAGAGTTCCCCTAGGCCCCCACCTACCCTCCAAATTTCGTCTTTCTAGCTCTAGTGGGAGCTGAGATCTTAGGGGGGGGGGCGACATCCGCCCCCCCTTCCACTGGGCGTAGTACTCGCAACCCTTCCACTGCGCGTGTTAAATATCAGTAAACTGTTCGACATTTAATCGCCCTTTGTTTTCAGGTCGTCCGGAAGGAGCCTGCGGTTGTCATACTACGGCGCCGGCAAACCCAACATCGCCGTGCAGGAGGTGCTGTGCACCGGCAGCGAACCCCACCTGCTGGCCTGCAAACACCGCGTCAACGTGCAGTGCAGCGGAAACGAGGTGGCCGGCGTCGTGTGCGAGCCCTAGCTGACGATCGAGCTGAATGTGATAAGACACCGTGTGTGCCCGATGTGCACCTCCTGCCCTTTCGAGAAGAGCTGGTGCACCCGCACGTGCGGCGTGCACGTAATCTATTTCTAATCAATCTGTCAAGCCCGATCGATGCCTTTGAATGCTCAAACGTGTATCCATTTATGCGATACAATGTAACTGAAAACGCGCACGATGTTGGCTGTTTTTAAAGATAATAAATTCGTTATTTTGTTGCTGTTGAATAATCTGATCGCCCAGGTGAGGTGCATGATAGTAGGTATAGTATTCATAAGCATTTTCTTTGCAACTAAATAATTGTATATGTTTAGTTATAGTGCTGAACGAATATTGCTTACCTTTCTCAGGAAAGGTTCGATGTTTCTGGCACGCCCTTCGTTTATCAACGTTTCATCAACGGGCTGGCTCCCCATCAATGATAAGCGATTTTGAAACAGGGATTAGATATACCTATAAATAAAATCCAGCACAAAATATTCATAGGCAGTATATTTGTGATATGCGGAAAACAAAGTCAACTCTAGAAATGTTACTGAATAATGCATCATCCTACAATTTAGAGCATTTCCCAGTGTGCAACGAGGACATCGCGTTACGACAGAGTGTCGAGCGAACACACAAAGTTCGTGTTATAGCAGAGTCACAAACTCTGATGCATCAATCCTACATTCCACATTAGGTACAGCATTCCCCGACCACTCAGTAGACCACTTCAGTAAGCAAGGTCGAATGGCCTAAGAAGCTGGTGAAGCCACATAGGCAGTAAACATGTTCACGCTGTGGAGACTGTTCCACACGATAGCGACAAACGGACGGTCTAGCGTGAACGAAGGTGGCACCGATGTAATTCCAGCCACCCCTCCGGCGCCGGCAGCCTCTGTGCCCTTCTCGTCCACCTCAATGACCACCTTGTGAAAGACCTTGTATTGTATTTGTATTGTATTGTATTTACATTTAAGAGCGATCCACATACAAAGTGCGTGGCGATTACTGCTCAGAATCCGTATCCGCGGTTGCTAATCTAATCATTCAAAACAGTTGCACATTCACTCACGTCAAAACTAGGACAAAACACTCTCAGGACAGCCTCATCGCTTTTACCCACCCCTATCCTATTGGTCAGCGACGATGTGCTGATTCATCGTCCACGATTGCGGCTTTAACAGCGCGGGCGAAGCGGGCGGGAGGCAGCTGCGACAGGTGAGGTGGCAGGCTGTTCAGCAGAGCTGCAGCTCGATAGCCAAACCGCCGCTTGCCCGTTTCCAGCCGTGGACGGGGAAGATGGAAGAAGTGATCTTGTCTGGATGGTCTCTCGCGGATAGCGCTATTAGCGACGAACAGGGCTGCTAGTTGCTCAGGTTCACGGCGCTGTATGACCTTGTGTGCGATGACAAGGGTGTGGAAATCGGACATACCGCGCGGGGACAACCACCCGAGTTTTGTTCGCAGGTCGGAGACATGGTCAAATTTACGGCGGCCGAAAATAACTCTAGCGGCGAAGTTAAGAATTTTTTGGAGTCGATCGAAATTTTTTTGGGACCCATTACCATAAACTTGTTGACGAGCAACTGTGAATCGGCCATGTTTCCAAGATCAGCCGTGCCACTAAACAGATGCTGGATTCCCAAGGCCTGGAGGGCGCTTAGCAAGCTGTATTCTGTCTCCAGTTTGAATCGCGGCATTGCAACGTACAGCCTTGTTTCTTGCAACTGGCTGAGGATGTTGGCAACATCCAGCGTATTCAGGGAATTGACCAAGCTCTGAACAGAAGCCATGGTCCGCGCAGCCGGTCTTAGAAGCACCATTTTATAATTGGAGTCGGTGTACGGAAGAGAGATGACGTCGTAACTAGCCTTGTCAACGTACGGCACCCTCATTTCCATATGCATCATGTCAACAGTCTTATTGCCAGATACAGTGAGAAACTGCGCTGGACGTGTGCTGTCCGCATAAAATTCTTCCTTCCAGTTACCCTTGAAATATAGAGCGCTCACGAGGACGAAGACTGCATCTGTAAGCGCCTCCGCATCCACCAGCCGGGGGATGAGGTTGTTGGTGGTGGCAGCCACCGCAGCGTTGATGGCCTGGGCGGCATCGGCAGGACCGGAGAAGGTGCTCACACTGGACGAGTAGTACGTGGACAGGACGGCGCTGTAGTTAGCCTTGACGCTAAAGCCGTCACGCAAGTAGAGTCCGTTGAAAACGTCACACGTGACGTTGCTGCTAGTGCTGCCAGATGTTAGTGACCCGATTGCAGACTGGTATGATGCAAGGAATGAGTCGTCAGTCACTCCAAGAGCAGACGATAGCTGTGAATCAAACATAATAGTTTACAACAACGAAGAGGCGCAATTTCTAAAGCTCATGAGCTGGACGTATCACGGTAGCAAGAAAACAGCCCAGTGTTCTTTCACACAGGTTTCAGGCAGACATGTGCATGGATCCGAGAAAATGGATCTGGGATCTGATCCCACGGATCCTGATCTCGGATCCGTCGGGATCATAGATCCAGCTCTTTAATTTATCGAGAGATCCGTAGGAATCATAGATCCGAGTCTAGTATTTTGCTTGAGATCCAGTGGGATCATAGATCCTCCTTTATTTTGGTCAACACAGAAATCCCAAAAGATCACTTGTTGCAAATAAAAAACGTACTTATTTTTATTTCGTGATTTTATGTGATGACACGTCATAATCCACAGTTTTATGGCACTTATTGACATAAAAACGCTTAGAAACCTGGTTTCAAATGTTGTGCATGGTGGGATCCACTCAGATCATAGATCCAGGATAATTTTTTTTCACGCCGGATTCGGTGGGATCATAGATCCGAACCTGCAATTTGCCTCGAGATCCGCTGAAATCATAGATCCATCACTCGGATCCATGCACATGTTGGTTTCAGGTCTGTATTTTTTCTCCGTCGTCACGGCTGTACCCCCCTACCCCAGTTTTTTCTCAATAGTCTCATTTTAAATAACGTATAATAAAAATGAAGACCTAAAATTATTTTACAACAAAACGATGCAGTTGCCGAATGCAGTGCAAGATGCAGTGCACTTACCTGAGTTCTAGTAGGTCCATCGGCAGCCAGCCAGGGCCTTGGTAACAACTGGATTTCCATTACGTCATGGGTGATGATGTCACACCACGGGTGACGTTTCACTGCTGCTGCTGCTGTCCACGGAGGGCAGCGTTTGTGAGTGGAAAACAGTAGCAACATTGTAAATGAAGGCAGTATTGGCGCTTATGCTACATATGAAATTTATAACAACATATTGATATTAGTGAATGTTTATTTTTGTTACTTTTCATAAACCCTCCATTTCAGGGTCTGCATGCAAAATTTCTGTTATTTTAGAGTCAAGCTATTGTACTGAGGGATTTATTTTGGCAATTTAGTCATTTGTTAGGTTATAAGGCTGCAGAAACTTTAAGTTGAGGTTGGTATCCACTATCCAGTTGCAGCTATAATTGTGTCATATTTTGTATCATTTTCTGAACATGTGAACACCTACATATATGAATTCAAATATTGTGATTGTAGAAAAGCAGTTACCCTCATATTGCAGCGGGGATTAGAACAATTAACCACACTTGTTATACAAAAAGCCTGTTTGCCATCAATTTTGGGAATTTAAATTGGGTATTGGTAAGGTAGATGTAGCACAAGCTGCCCGATGCATGAGAATGGGTCTTTCTAACCAAACCTTACCTAACCTGACCTACAAACTACAGCCTTAAACCTAAAATTTACAACCTACGACCTAGTCCTGCGGTATGGCATATCACAACAGCTTGTGCTACGTCTGCTACCATGACCCAACTTTGTGCCAATTCATACCAACTTGGGATGACAGTCACTGCAGATGTGTGCTGACCATGCAGGTCTTTGTTACAATTGCAATTTTATTGTGTTACAGGTTTCGGCGCTCTACAGCTGCGACCCGCCATGGCTGGGCCACCGCGGCGGCATCACCTTCAGGGTGGACCTGCCCGTGGCCACCCGCCGGTCGGACCCGCCTGCAGTCTGCAGGGAAGCTGCCCTGCAAGCCATTGCAGAGCTCCCGCACCCGGACGTCACTATCTGGTCGGACGGCTCGGCTCGCGGCGGACGGAACAGGGCGGCGCAGGCTCTGATCCAGTTCCACCACCTCAACAGAGAAGAGACTGTGCGCGCTCCTGCAGGGGCGGTCTGCTCCAGCCTAAGAGCAGAACTGACCGCCATGCGCGAGGCGTTCGCGGCTGTGGCCGGCCTGGAGGACGGGGAGTTGGCGTCGACCAAGTCGGTCCGCCTCCTCACCGACTCAAGGTCTGGGCTCCAACTACTCGGCCGCGGCCCAGCTAACCATACCATGGCCCTGGCTGCCGAGGTGTGGAGGCTGCTGAGTGCTGAGCATCATCGCCGAGAACGGCACCGAGACGGTGCTCCAGTGGGTGCCAGGCCATGCCGGGCTGGACGGCAACGAAACCGCCGACCGCCTGGCTGGCGAGGCCACGGCGGGCGACCAAGACAGCGCACCGATCGACCTGTCGAGTGCGCGGGCCGCCGTCACGCGCCATGTCCGGGAGCTGTCGCGACAGAGGGCAACCGCTGCCCACCCACACCCGGACCCCACGCCTGGCCACGACTCCCTGGCGCGCTGGGGTCAGTGACGCTGTCCCAGCTGAGGACCGGCACATCACCGCTGACCCGTGACACGCTCCACAAGATTGGCCCGGAAGCCGACGACGAATGCCCCGCGTGCGGGGAGCCCGACAGCGCGGCGCACCTACTGACCGATTGTCCGGCCTATGAGGTGGCCCGCCGCCGCCGCTGGGGTGTCGACCCTCGCCTGGTCGACGTCCTCGGCGGCCCGGCGACGAAGGTCGTCACCTTCATCGAGGATGTTGGGCGGACCGAGCCGCCGCTCGACCTGCCTGCGCCGCCGCCCCCCTGAGCGGGTTGGCGGTGGGATGCAGAAGAAGAAGAAGAAGCAACTGCCAGCGCGCCACGGCGGCGAAGCCGAGTTCCGCCGCTGGACCGCCCGCGCAATGGCCAGCACAGACAAGAGACAACCGAATCACAACACCTACAATTACGTTATTGTTATGGTATTGACATTGTTACAATTAACCGGACCCTGCTCTTTCGAGCGTGGATGCACGCTGAAATTGTCGCATAATTCCATGCAGCTTCCACCCTTCTGCAATACAAAGTTTGAATGCAAATTAGTCTTGCAATAGGTTTAGAACTTATGTGCAGATTGTCGATGCTGGTTGACTTGATGATTGGAATTGTGTTTATCTGTTTCATCTGTTTTGACTTAAATATATGGCCATGGACTATGGCCTACCTTGGGAAGTGTCTCTGATTTCAACAAAACATTTTTCATCAGGATACGCTGCAGGGTACATAGTACATACGTAGTGAAAATTTTGAGCATGTATGGGTGCTCATGTGGAGATGTAGACTGCGAATGAGACGGACTACGACGGTTTTTGAACCAATTAAATCTGATTGACAACATAATGTAGGACTTAAAACTGACTGTCAGAAGAATATTCACAGAATATTCACTTCACCCGGTACAACGAAAAGGGAAAGTCAGGGAACAGAGGTAGGGTACATCTCGAAGATCAATCAAATTGCAGGTGCCGATTGGTTATGGATCATCGCAGCTCAAGGTACTGCCTTGTGCTGCTTTATTGTTAACTGAAATTGCTTCCACCTTGTATTGAAAGAAGTCATTATGGAAGATTTTAAAAAGGTTCTTGAAAAATTTAAATACTTTGAATTCATATTTCTGCAGAATTATACACCCGTATCATTCTTTACATGTCAATATTTGTATATTATCTAGCATATAAGAAAATAGTGGCCTCAAGTTTCTAGAAAATGTCTGATTTTGCTCTCTGGGCCACTGCAGATCCCTAAAAAGTTAGGAGCCGTCTTCATTATTTAATGTATAAAACCAAATAAATTATCACTGCTTAAAAGTGGAAGAAATGACAAATGAAAAAACAAGTTTTCCTACAGCGTTGCAATCCAGATTTCAAGATAGTGATGGGCGCACTAGAAAGCAAGTAAAAGTACTCCACAAGGTAAAAGTAAGGAACAAGAATATCCTTATACTGTTTCAGAATTCGGTAACAAACATTTTTTATGTATTTTAAATACCCGAACGAATCGAATCCAGAATCAGTCTTGATGATATTATATGGTTTTTGTATGGTGTTGGTGGTACTTGAATGACCAAAGTCAGTACATGTCCATCACCTTTCGATATTTCCGTGGTGCTCGCTCCCATTTCATAGCTGCTCACGGTGTTTTCTGCTGACGTCATATGGTGCTGCTCCACTAGCGCCACCATACGGGGTCAGCTGGCGAATTATCCAGTTAATACCAGAGCCCGCCAGCCAGACCTGTGACATTTACCGGGGTTACATGAGCGATCCGTTCCAAATACGCACTACGCTAATGCGCATCAGCTCCCCACAAACGGATCTACGGCACCGGTTACATGAGACTAATTCGTTTTATCTACGTCAAACGGATCTTCTTTGGCTCACCCGGGCTGACTCCTCGACGGCCGGTAATTCGCATCACAAACGGAATAGGATTAGCGTACAGTCATGGCGCAGTTGTGGCATTTACCGGGACGACTGAGCTAAATTTTAAATACTTATATCATTTGATAGGCTCAAAAACATTTTAAATTAACATGAAATCAAAAAATGAAAACAAAGTTTTCTTGTTTTAAGTCAGTGGGCACTGATTCGCCATGCAGCGACAGCAGGGTGGTCAGAAAAAATTATCTATCAAAATATTTCATTCATTTTATTTCACATGCAAAGACTAAACCAAAATACCAACATTTTTTTCCTATTTTCTACGAGGCAGCCAATAAAAAAAATTGTTAGGTATTTTGCATTTTGACGCTTCCAGTCAGCAAAGAATAGTTCTTGTGAAATACGGCCCGAATCGTGTGCCTCGGACGTTTCGGTTACATGAGCGATCCGTTCCAAATACGCACTACGCTAATTCGCATCAGCTCCCCAAGAACGCATTCAGTGCACCGACTACATGAGCAAATTCGTATCAGTGACGTCAAACGGATCTAGTTTGGCTCTCGGCCCGATGCGCATTACAAACGGAATAGCATACAAATGTGGCGCACTTCCGTAGCAATAGAGGTGACTATATTAAAAATTTATTATCTTATGTCTTTTTTGCATTTAATCTGCTCAAAACATTCTCAATTAACTTAACAAAAAAAAAGTTGAACATAAAGTTGTCTTGCTTTGACTCATTGGGCAATTGCCTCTCTTGATTCGTCTGTAGTGCTGTCAGAAAAATGTTTCAACTGAAATTATGTGGATATTTACTATTTGGTTTTCACTATATTTATTGTTGAAAACTTGGCAAAATACCGACATATTTTTTTAATATTATTTCAAAAGAAGAAAATGAAAAAAATACCTATTATTTTGCATTTTAATGTTTCTTTTTGCGAAGAAATAGTTCCTGTAATACGTATCTTGGTCCTATTCGCTTCTAAGCCTCTTTCTCAGCGGATTTTGTTCGGACCGCCGATTCGTATTAGCAGGTGGATACATGAGTCGGTAGTACGCTCCTGATTCGCATTAGCGGTGAATCCGATCGTGATACGTATTTGCTTTGCTCATGTAACCGCGGATCGGATCGCCGATTCGTACTAGCAGGTGGCTACAATCAATCAATCAATCAATTTTATTTAACATCCCATCATATAGGGACAAAGCATATTGGCATGATACAATACAAGGTGTCTCACACAGTTACACAATACACATCATATTCATGTGACACAAAGACGTACAAACAGCTGTTCCATGCAGCCTGTTCAGCGCAAACCAGTAATCCCGCAAACTTTAACAGGAGTGCTACGATGACACTCGTTGGGGTAAGACAAGCATATGGATCATGGCCCAGGCGTCGCCATTGTTCTGGGCCAGTAGCCAGCGCAGTGAGTCGGCAATACCATCCACTCGTCTGGGAGCGCTAATCAGGTCTCGTGACACATGCCCCCCAGCAACTCTCAATAGTGTTTCATAGTTCATCCCACACAGTGAGAGCATGTGACTTACAAGTGAGCCTGGGCAGTGCAAACGGGTCGAATTGAGCGCAGTGTGAGCCAGATCACTTAACAAAACACGACGAAGGCGATGCTCCCCGCGAAACGCGTCCCTGAAAGTATTGAATAAAGCTCGACGGAGACCTTCCTGCACACTCGGAATCCGTAGTGCCGCCAGTAGAGCTGTATGGTGCGCTGTGCGAGGCAAACGCAAGGCCAACTTGATTGCAGTCGCCTGCCAAGAATCAAGACGTAATATGTCCTCTGACCTTAAAAAGCACACAGCGCATCCATAAAGCAGAGCTGGCGATACTACCATACGCCAAAGATAGGCCTTGTCCACTGCAGTCAAATACGAATTGAACATGCCGGCCGGCGTGAGGCCGAAGAAAGCACCTCTTCCCCGGCGCATTCTTGCGCTGATATGGCCTGTAGCCTGTAGCTGCGATTGAAGTTGTACACCCAGATGCTCTGTCTCTTGTCTAAGAGACAAGGTCTGACCACATACATGAGTCGGTAATGCGTTCCTAATTCGAATTAGCGGCTAAATACGTATTTACTGTGCTCATGTAACCCCGATAATTAGAGTGGATATGACGAATGGTGAAATCACGGTATATAGAGAACTAGGTAAAACCGGTTCGAAATTACAACACTAAGGTATTTTGACCACTATTTTCAGCTGACCTTTAAAGTCTAAAAAAGAGAACTAAGCAACACATTTCAATGAGTTTTATTATATGTATATATATTTTTGATTTATGATCAGACAGCACGCCATGTATGAATCTGTGAAGCATTAACGAAAATAAATTGTTGGCTATCTCCGCCATTTCAAAAATTATATATCTTAAAACGCAAAGCCCGTTCATGGACGAAATTAATTTTTCACAATCAAAATTTGAAATTGAAGGACAAAAAGTAATATCAAAGGCCGACATTCTTTCATTGAATTTCGAAATTATCATGGTTCTGAGCTGTTTAGCCTACCGGATCTGCCAATGCTCTACCATGAATATTCGAGTAATTTCAGTGATGTGGGGCTTCAATCATGGTCAATAAATATCAAAATTAAATTCTCTTTCAGATTATGTCAGTTTTGTTGCTTTTTAAGCATTGGAAACTGCATTTAGTTGATGTTGAATGCACCACCGCCATTGGTGTCCTTGGTCACCCTGTTCCACTAAATGTAATATTTTTCGAAAACTAGACTATGTCGGTGTCTAAAAAGTTTACCAAAATTTACAAAAATGGTAACGCTATTACCTATCAAAACGTTGAAGCGCTATGATGTTGGGAAATTTTAGAAATGTATTTACGAATCTCGAACTTATATTTTTTGGAACCGATTACTCCTGAACAAAAACATCTCTATTTGGTAAACTTGTTAGGCATATGCCCTTAAAATGTCTATATCAAAATGAAAATTCATTTTTCTTTAAAAGTCCGCATATTTCATTGCAGTTTCGAAGATGTAAGGTATATTTTTTGGCCTAGATTGAATGATCTTCCATTCTGCTGAAGGTAACACTATGACAATTAATGGAATATTACTAAAAAACAAGACAATGTCGGTGTCTGGTTCAACCTTAATAATTAACATAAAAGAATTCTCTATCTTTTGATATGAGTCATAAAACAAGATGAACTTGGGAAATTTACGAATTTCGGTATTGAAAACCGCAGACCACCCTCAGTTGTGCTTTGTCCACTGTACTGTAAATGCTGCTAATATACCTCTGTCGCTAGCAGACGCATGTCTTTGCATTCGATTGGTTGAACGGCATTTCGTTTGCTGATGGAGAACACCTTTGTTTTAATTTGTATTTTGTCATCGGTTATGTTATTTGTTTTGTCCAAGGCTATATAAACCAGGTAGAACGCTCCGGGAAAAAAGTTGGAAACAATAAATTAGTTGCGGCATTCCCTGATGACGCGAATGTGGGTCAGCGGCCGGCGGCCGGCGGCCGCTAACACTGTATGAGGATGAATGCACGGAACTTATGCTTGTTGGAGATTGCGCTAGGCAGTTAAATGTTAATGTTAGGATATGTTTCGAAAGTAAATTGAACGACGCTTCGAACGCCGTCATTGAATTTGCGATACGACCACTATTTGTTTAGTTAGAGCCGGCGAACTTTTACCTTCCGACCGCGCGGGGAGGCAATATGGTGCCACACTGACGGTTTTTACGACAGCTCAAAATTCTTTTGAGCTAAAGAGCTGAAATTTGACATGTCCAATCTTTTGATCAAGCTGGATCTTCTGGTACAAGTCGCATATTGATGGTACGTCAGGTTGTTGACCTATGTTGTCGTTCGTGAGCCTCTACACAGTCCAAAACAACGCAGTTTCTGAACACTCAGTGCCAAGAAATCCTTCACAGAAAGATGGCACTTGGCAGAAAGAATAGCTGACGGTTTCTTACCGTTCGTATGTGTCGTGTTTTCACAAGAGTTTAGTAAGGTCAGGTCCCTCACGTCACCTCCCCTCATAACTCAATAGGACTAGGTTTACTATCATCATAGAAGCGTTTAATCGCCGGAAATCTTAACCAATCCCACTGGACACTGGATCCATACCCACATGGGGCACTCCTGACTGGCCACTCCCTCTGAAATCCATAATAAGATTGGGCTGCGGCCATGGTTATTGGTTATGTATTAATGCTTTTCACTAACAGAAATACAACAACTTCAACCAGCACAGTGCACGCCGCCACAACAGTCCGACCCACGTCCCTGATATCGAATAGCACTCGCCGGATGCATATATGCGGAGCCAATCAGTCCGAATGTGACCTGCAGCTTACAATTGCTGTGTTGCATGGCGCATGGCACAGGACGATTCCTATAGCAGCTGTCGGCTGGAGTGGAGAAACAGCACGTTGCGACACACCGCGCCGGCGACAGAGCTCAGCAGGGCTGGTTGGAAGCTGGAGCCGGAGGTAAGGGCGGACGCAGGCGCCAGGCACAGACATTGCAGGACAAATAACAGGATGTCATTAATTAGGGATATAATTCAAGACAAATGATTCAAGACGGACTGAAATAATGCACATTTTGCTCACTTGGATACCAACTTCAAACTTGACGTTTATAACACCACGGAAACAAATGGCCACACTGGAAAGAAACAAAAGATGAGGTGTTTTTAACTCAAGGAAGTAAATAGAGGTTGCATATGATGGAACAGCCCGAAGTGCAGACTAGCCCATATTTTTGGTAATAACTATCAGTTGTCCTACTCCTCTTCTCCATTTATCAACTACTGGACACATCTGAAGCATCATATAATATAGATAGCACCAATGTCCATAACAAAAGCTTGCAAAGTAGTTTTATGAAGCCAAGGGAAATATCCCTACATCATGCATGTAAACTCTAAATTACACATGCATGACAAAGGAAGCTTATGTAAAGAGAAGAGTGGCAAAAGCATTTCATAGTTAACATTATTTAAAACTGCACACAGGGCAAACATAAAAAGCAGCAAGTGTGATGTTCTGTTATGCTAAGAAATAGTCCAAAACAAAATACATCTTTTCATGTTTGAACTGGTTGTTCTTCTATGCCACTTCATCCATATCTTGATTACAGATGGGCTGTTGCTGTAGGCTGATGAAGTGACACTTGATTGCCTTTGTGCGAGCTTCAGTTGCAGCCTCCTAGGTACTGCACTGGAAAGCAGATTGAATTGAATGCCTCTGAAAGATAGGAATACAGGCAAAGTTAGCTGTAGTAGTGTCAATGATAATAGACATGACATTTTTGTCCTTTGGCTTTGACACACATTTGTTGAAGTACAAAAAGGTACAAAATAAATTGGTTTGTTTCAAGACACGCACACTGCACAAAGCCGCACAGACATAACACAGGCACATGAAATTGGTACACATAAAACTTGATGATTAAAAAGGTCAAAATTGAAATAAAATTGAAAATAATTGAAATAAAAGTTCCAATCACAATCATTTGATTTAAAATGACTTGACATATGTCACAAGACGCAACGCTCCTATTCACTTAAGAAAAGTTTTATGCTTTCATTATCCTCCACATATCAACCAGCTTGATACCAGGCTGTGCAATAGTGTGTACATAACCCCATGTTGCCATTTTATTAGAGCAAGTAGGGTTACAACAACAATGCTAATGTCAAACCCACATCTCAACCCGTACTGCAGTTTCAATCACCCTACAAGCACATGCCTTCTGGCAGTTTGATAGGCAGAATGGTTATTCCTACTTTCTCCTCATATTTAACACATATTTCCTTTATACAGATACAGTTTAGACCTGGTTATGGCAAGCATTTTCGAAAAAAAGATATGATAAAAATCCAAGACAAAGGTCGAGAGAAACAACACCAACATAAAACACCGACTATGTAGAACTAATACTGTCAAATTCATAAAAATATATACATGAGTCGATCAGAAATTCACTGTAGATTTCGAAAATGGTGTCAAATGCCACTCAAATGCCCCCATTCGCATGTAACAAGCAATAAAACACTGACCTTCAATCCCGCGTGCCATTCTCCGTAGGCCACTGTGTAATAAATAACGCGTTCACTGATCGCAAAAAAATGAGACCCACATATGACGCGTTTGCTACCAGCCAATCAGCGCTCGAGATGCCGAACGCTGATTGGTGGAGAGGGCCGTCGTTAGCAGTTCATTACACGTTGTTTTCCTTGAACATGTGCGTGAGCGCTGATGCTGCTCACGGGTTGTTGCCATTTTTCGTAATGCTGAAGGCACGGGAGCGAACCCCCCTGCATTTTTCGTAATGCTGAAGGCACGGGAGCGAACCCCCCTGGTTTTGTCCATGGTTTTGTCTGTTACACTGAACTCTTTAATGGGGTCTGTTATTTGAATTGATTTTGTTAGGTAAAGATTGAAGGCACTGTGACTATAAATAATGGAAGGTAGGTGTTGGTTTGGTACCTTGTTTAAAAACTTTTTTTTCCTGAGATTTTGCCTGTGCGAACTGCGAGCACCAGGCTGGGTGATTTTGTGTTTTAGATCCTTTTCTGAATTCTGTGGTTCAGTTGAGAATGAGATTCAAATCAAAATAGGTAAAAGGTAACTAGGCCAAGGCCAAAGGTAGTTGATGTTTTGATTGATTTGTCTTGTAGTTGTGGTAATTATCCTACCAAGTATGCTTTGCCCCAACAGCCAGTTGACGTGACCGGTGATAGTGATAGCAGCACGCTGCTATTAGTTATTACATGTGTCAAATTAGGTTTCCATAGAGACATCAACAAGCCCCATTCACATTGCTCCAACACAACCACAAGTGTGACGTCAGCAGAATAGCAGCATGCTGCTATCACCGGTGAAACACCAGTACCCTGGTGACGGACTTGACGGGGTGTCAATAAAGCTGGAGTCACCTTCAGCGCTAGCCAGTAAATGTGTAGATAAAAGGAAGCTGAAATTTAAAAACAATCTAACCTTACCTAACCTTACCTATTGGCTATTAACATACTAACCTATACCCTACACCCTACCAACTGATGGTGACGCCAGCTTTACCATAAACCGTAGGTTGTAGTTTAGTAGGTAAGGTTAGGTCAGGTTAGATAATGCTTTGTTCTGTTAGACTAGGTAGGTATTTGATTAGAATTAAAAGCGAATTTTGTGTAAATGTCTCAAGAACTGGAGAGTGTAGCGACTTCACAAATGGGTGGCAGCATGTGAGATGCCTGCTATATGAATACCAGAAATCCTTCTCTATGCCTCAACCCCCTGTTCTGGGCTGGGCAGACACTTTCATCCCATGTGGGAAGCTCCCCTAGGAGCATACACAGAGCCAGGTGCAGTGTCAGGGGCTGGGTGCCCTGTCCACTGGATGGGCTCAGCCCCAACCCAATGACTTGTACCAGGGTGCTTGCCCATACCAATAGCTCCCCCTAATTCCTATCATTCCTCCAACTCTGTAGTCTTTTTGTGCCAAAACTTGAAAGAGCCCAACCCAACAAAACTTTAAATTGATTTTGTAACTTGTGGCATAGTACTTACTATTTTGCCAGTCTGGCAACATCCCATTACTGCCTTGACTGGCTTTCTTCTCTCTCAGGCTGATCCTGTGTCACAGAGCCACATAGATGAGCAGCTACCCATCGTAGGATGCACACTCAACCTCCTGCTAGTTTCTGAGCCAAGTCAGCTTGACAGAGGGGTGTGCTAATGCACAGCCATCTAGCCAGTAGCCCCTGCTGACTAACAGATGCTGGCTGGGACAGACGCTCATCAAAGGTGTGCCACACGACATAGGCATTCTCGTTCTGCATCAAGCCTCAAGGTGCCTCAGCCAAACGGCAGTGAGAAATAAGGGTTGGAATAAAAGAAGAGGACTGAGGAGAAAATCCATTTACCACAATTTTATCACTGTGGGCCATCGCGAATGCGTAGTGTAATATACCTCACCATGGAAATGCCAAAGCACACAGCTCAAGCCATGCTGCCATCCACATGACGTGCGGCCAGGTATCCATTATCAGACTAGATATGTGACATCTGAGTTTTATAACATAGCCATTTGCAATCTTTTGTGGCGATGGAACTGTCTTAGCATAAAAGACCGCCGTTGTGTACCGTGCCTGTGGCCAGCTTAGCCGTTTCCATTGTATGCTTTGTGGTTTTTTAGTTCTGAGCATGTTATCTTTCAACAGGCTCGTTGCTGTCGGCGGTTCTGAAGACAGCGGTTCGATCCAGCTGAAGGACGTCACCTGGCAGAAAGTTGCAGAGTGTGGTGGCCAGTATCAAGCCACATTGTCCAGAAACCATCACATTATCTCCAGGTCAGTAATTGTGTGAACCGGGGGGGGGGGGGGGCGCAGCTGCGCCTTGGTCACCACTGTGTCGAGTTGTGGACGCCTGGGCCACTGTGTCGAGTTGTGATAGGAAAATCCTGCAAAATTCCTCCCACTTCTCCGTAGGTCTCTGCTGCTTTAACACAGGTGTCCAGTCCGTGTCGGTGAGCTGCCAGTTGAACTGGTAGGGATCGACCCGCTGTAAGCGCCGGCGTTGAACCGTCGGGCCGGTCGCGCACGCCACCAAACCGCAGCCCCACGCGGGTAATAATCGGGTTTGGACTTCTTGGATGAGATGTTTATGCACAGGCTAATGTACTGTAATTATGACTGAGTGTGCGACAGAAGACGTTGTGACTATGAGTCATACTCGCCGTGGCTGGTATTTGATGACCGTCGTGACCTGTGACGGTCGCCGTGACTGCTGTGTGACGATCACCGTGACTGTAATGTGACGGTCGCCGTGGCTGGTACGTGATGTTCTCAGTAACTGTTTATATAACGGCCGTCGCGACTGAAAGGTGACGACGTGACGTGACGCGACTCGCTCTGTTACAGGTCACTAGTCGCCGGTGCTCGAGCTGATGGCGTCGTTCAAGGGCTCCACGCTGCCGCCGCCGCCGCGACCATCCGACTCCTGGGCCCTGTTTCACGGCAGCGTACTGCAGCGTGCTACGCAGCGCTGCTGTGTTAGTGCGGCGATTGAGACGAATTCGGCTCGACGCTCCAGCGTTGCGAAACACCCGTGTTTGGGGTTTGGTATTTTAACGGGCTCTCCGATGACGTCCCGCAATTTGTGTTATATAATTTGACGATTATGTCGTAGTCTCATTCTGTCTCGATATGCTAATAAATGATAAATGGGACGGAGGTTGGAAGTAAGGTGTGAGTGGCTGTAACCGGCAGGTTTTGGCGAGCGCGATATTAGTTATCGTGAGCGCGCCAGCTGCAATCAATCGCGCGCTTCTGGCGAGAAAATACTTGCTCTGGAACCTAGAAGTTTGTCGTGAAATCTATGTACCTTTGGATTGAATTATTAGAACATAATGTACTTTCGGTGTCCAGCACTGCAGCTCTGGAAACAGAAATATGGATGTTGGCTGTTTGATGTAGCAAGGGCTAACAATCCGCGTCAAGAATCAAAAGCTGTATGCAAATTAAAGTGAATATATTTCAATGAATTTTTTAATTTTGTGATACAAAACATAAATGTGTCAACTACTGATTACACCCGGCTGCAAACACTGTAACGCTTGCAATGCTGTACGGCAAATAGATAATATAGATTCTCTGGCGGCCAACTGGCGCGATCCGAGGCTGCTGACTGTTGTTGTATAGGACAACACGGCTGAATGGCTACGATCGAGAGTACGGAACGGTGCTGGTGACTGGCGGACCAGCGAAAACAGGAAAGGAGATGAATAGCTCTAGCTCCCGTCTGCGCGCGGAAGGGCGCTGATTGGCGTGGCTCGCAGACTCCATTGGCTCATCAGACTGTTGTTGGTCTTCCTCCTCCCCTCCCACAGGCGTAGCCAAAGCGAGCGGCCAGAGCGGCGCTAGGTGTCGCCCTCCCAGGGACCGGGCAGTGCAGCTGGACGTGCCGCGGATGGTCCGCTTCTGATCTCGGCACACTCGGAAGAGTGCGGCCGGACACTCCATGGAGTTGCATAGCGTCGATAGGCCGTATGGTGTCGCTGTCGTAATTATAAAAGCGTAAGTAGAAGGTTGAAGCAAGATATAGAATGTTTTTCTTTACATTTAATATCGCAAAGCACAGCTTTATGCGCTGGCTACGATATGTGCGCGTCGGTTGCGGCAGTAATCATCGAAGAAATATATGGTTTATGAACGTTTCTTGATCATAAAATGATAAAACATTGCAATGTTTGCCTGTTGTGAAGAAAACTCCCATACTGCCGCTCTATCGTCCGGAATTATTCGTGTTTGATTACGGCGATTCCGCCACTCTATCAGCTGATTTTTGTTTCCGAGTCACGTGACCAACCGGTGTCTCCCTGGGTGAAATGGCTTCATTCCGGCCTAGATTGGTTGTCAGCTGTTTCATGAGCGCGAGGTCCAAGCCGGAAGGAATTGCGCTGAATCCCTCTCCCAGTGCGGCGCAAATCAGCGCCAACCTAAGAGCTGATGAACATGAGGGCACATTGTTAAAAGAATCACAGCAACGTCAAACTTACAACTTACAAGAAAATAAAGATCCAGAATGCATATAGGCAATGCGAACGAATTTACTATCTGTTTTGTGACCTTATTCACCTGTATTATGTATATGCAATGCTACCAACGAGAAAAGTGCTTATCACTGCTTTGTCCATTAAAGGTCACGTACATACCTATAATGGTCATCGGTAGGTACTTAAATTTCGAAAATACCGGCGATAAATACCAGGTAGCGTCACGCAAGAATACTGAAGCGTTGTGAACTTTTTCGGGAGTAAAACAAGCATCAATTATCCGTACACTTACCTGGCATTGAGAACTTCATATGCAATGAAGTTCTCAATGGCATTGAGAACTTTATCTCGACAGAAAATGAACCACGCCGCACTCGCTGTCACCAAGAAGTGTTACGGTAGCTGGCCAGGTAAGCCGTCAAAGTGCAAAGTGATGGCGTGTCCTGCCCTGCACTGGTTTTTTCCTCTGTAGCTGCAACCACCACTGGGGTGCTTCTGCGGAGCGCAGTGTCGACAAGCACAGCTAAATAGCCGTCAAACGTCGCCATAGACACGGGGGTGTCGTCAGAATGTTGAGCGGGGTATAGCCGTAGTTGCATCGGTTTTACAGCGTTTTTTTAAACTTGCATATAATATGAAATACCAACGAAATAACGCTGATGTGTCGTGTGCTGTTACGTGCTATGATTAGTGATTACTGATCATTGCAACGTAATTTGATGTCATCACACCTTCACAAATATTTGTGTTCTATGAGCCGCCCGTGGATCGGGTTGATTGACGGAACAGTGAACTGTCCCGTCTAAAGGGTAGGCCTCACTGAGTCAACCGTTCTGCTGCAAGCCATTCTGAGAATGTTGGCGAGGCAGGTGACATGAAATGTCGCAGTAAACACATGTGACAATGTAAGCGGGGTGAACACTGAACATTGCCCGATGAGTCAGGCGACATTTCGCAAGCCTTCTGTTTGACCCATGGGCTAGTCTGTAGGTGTGTTTCAAAGGAACTTTTGTTTATCCTAATTCAAATAAGTAGGCATGCAATATTTAATATGCATTACAACGAACAGTTTTTTTTTTAAATCTGCTTGCAATGCGCATTTGATTCGTCTTTTTTCTCCTCTCATAACACAATATTTTCTTTTAGAGGGTCCTGATGTTCAGGGCTCATTTCGCTTATTATGCACCGTATATTTTAGCTCGAATGTCCTTTCCAGGCGTGCCCTTATAAATGTTATTGTTGGCTTGGAGCCTTGTGCCATAAGTCTATGGCCTGGAAAATTATCACTCGTTCCTTTTTAGCACCTGCCATTCAAAACAACCGACTAGCTAGGTACATGCTATAGGTAGAAGCCGTTTATTACACAGCTAAGCTCTTCGAAAATAGGTTTTCGAGCAATTTCAAATATGTTGATAGATTTTAAGCCGATGATCTTATCTCATGAACTCAAGTTACATAACAAAGTCTCCAAAGTCCAAACAGTCAAATCAATCAATAACAGCCCTATCATATTTATTTCCATAGAACATCGTGCTCAAGTCGTGATGCTTTCAAAGCTCGTCCGATGTTCGGAGAGGTTCACGGCGAGCCTACGTAGGCCGTGAACATGTTGACCATATGTCTCCAGTTCCACACGATGGCAAAGAACGGACGGTCCAGGATGAACGAGACCGGCAAGGAAACGGTATAAGCAACCACAGCACCCGCCCCTGCCGCCACGGTGCCCTCTTCATTGACTTCGATGACGACCTTGTGTACCACCTTCTCAACTTGCAGCTTCTCTGATGCCATATTGCTAAGATCAGCATCGGCGCTGAAGACTTGCTTGATTCCTAGGTTTGGGAAAACCTTCTCCAATTCGTCGTACTTTGTCTCTATCCTGAAGCGCGGCATCTTCACTTCAACGGAGGTTTCTCTCAGCTGATTTGCAATACTTTGGACGTCCATCTTGTCCAGGGAGTCCCTGAGAGCTTGGACTACCTCCATCGAGCGGTTCAGCGGCCTCAACAGCAGCATGCTGTAGTCGCAGTTGCTGTACTGGAGAGAAACGCAGTCGTACGAACTCGTCTTCATGTACGGTAGGTCACTTTTCAGCCTCATCATGTCAACCGTCTTTTCTCCAGAGGATGTGAGGAAGTTCCCTGGATCAGTCTTGTTGAACTTTTCATACCACTGCCCCTTGAAGTACAGGGCACTGACCAGAGCAAACGCAGCTCCTTCCAGTGAAGCCGGTGTGACCAGTTCAGGAATAAAGTTGTTGGTAGTGTTGGCTACCGCCGTGTTGATCGCATTGGCGCCTTCCTTTGCCGAGGAGAACTGCTCGACCTTCGATGAATAGTAGGCATCCAAAGTGCACACATAATTAGGTTTGATGCTGAATCCTTTCTTCGCGTAGATCCCGTTGAAAACTTTGGTGGTTGCGGAGCTTTGACCAAATTTCAGATCAGCGATGACGGACTGGTATCCCAAAAGGAACGCGTCTCCTTTTATTCCGAGGGCCGAAGTCATCTGTGAAAAGGAATGGACGGGTCACAACTAAATTTCAACTTTGTTTTCATTTGCCTGTTGTTTTGTCTTGGTAGGCAAACGTTAAAATTAGCCTTGTTTTCGACTAAAAGCTAGGTACACCAAGAACTATTGCTTCCGTATTAGGTAAAGAATTGCCTTCATTTAATATCCATGAAGTGTCACTTTATTGTAAATTAAGCGCTAAGTTTTGTTCAGGGTGCAATTTTGCACCATTCACAAACGCAGCCTTCTATAGCATCATGCACTACATTTTTCTTTTGATTCCTTTTCCTAACCAGTAAAGCGCCTTTTGGGCGAAGAACGAGCGAGCGAAAAAGCGAGCCCTGCACGTGCGGAAGGGCGAGAGGGTACTTCCAACGGGCTTGCGCAAAGCACCCTTCTAACCGGTCTCTAGTGAAATTTGAGCGCAATCCGCCCAGCCGTTCCTGAGATCTGGAAGCGGCATTCTGCACGTGCGCACGTGCAAACGGGGTCCAAACTGACTTTTGCACGGCACCCTACTAACTGGTCCCCAACCGTGTACCAAATTTGAGCGCAATCGGCCCAGCCGTTCTCGAGATCTGGAAGCGCCCCCTGCACGTGCGCACGTGCAGTAGCACCTTAACCGCAACACATGGGAATGCATTGCCTGGTGGGTGCCTACCTGTATGCCAAGTTTCAGCGAAATCGCCCCAGTAATTACCGAGTTATTAAAATGGGAACAAATTTGACACCTCTTATTGTTGTATTTTGCACGTGCACTGGGGGTGACCCACATGCATCGAGAGTATCCTATTTTTGGTAGAACGGATGCTGCTATCCTACAAAAATTACCGCAAGTCAATCGCCCAAGCGGCTGCTGAGATATGAGCCTCTCAAAATCACTACTTTTGCAAAACAGCTTGAACACCCTTGACTTTTCACGTGGCACGTGCCACGACGGTCACTGAGTTGTATCAAAAGTAGTCAATTACGGGGTAGAAGGGATGGGGCTACCCAGCAAAAAAGACCGCAGGCCAATCGGTCCAGCGGTTGCTGAGATGTAAGCCTCTCAAAAGCGTTACAGGCCGGGCCGGGCCGGGCCGCTCATACTGAGATTTTTTCCGTTATATTGACCAGTAAAACGCCTTTTTGGCGAAGAACGAGCGAGCGAGATAGTGAGCCCTGCACGTGCAGAAGGGCGGGAGGGTACTTCCAACGGGCTTGTGCAAAGCACCCTCCTAACCGGTCGCTAGCGGTGTACCAAATTTGAACGCAATCGGCCCAGCCGTTCCTGAGATCTGGAAGCGGCATTCTGCACGTGCGCACGTGCAAACGGGGTCCAAAATGACTTTTGCACGGCACCCTACTAACCGGTCCCCAACCGTGTACCAAATTTGAGCGCAATCGGCCCAGCCGTTCTCGAGATCTGGAAACGTCCCCCTGCACGTGCGCACGTGCAGTAGCACCCTAACCGCAACACATGGGAATGCATTGCCTGGTGGGTGCCTACCTGTATGCCAATTTTCAGCGAAATCGCCCCAGTAATTACCGAGTTACTGAAATGGGAACAAATTTGGCACCTCTTATTGTTGTATTTTGCACGTGCAGTGGGGGTCACTCACATAGATGAAGAGTATCCGACCTTTGGTAGAAGGGATGCAGCTACCCTATAAAAATGACCGCAAGACAATCGCTCAAGCCGCTGCTGAGATATGGGCCTCTCAAAATCATTACTTTTGCAAAACTGCTTGAACACCTTTGACTTTTCACGTGGCACGTGCCACGGCGGTCGCTGAGATGTATCAAAAGTAGTCAATTACGGAGTAGAAGGTATGGGGCTACCAAACAAAAAAGACCGCAGGCCATTCGGTCCAGCGGTTGCTGAGATATAAGCCTCTCAAAAGCGTTACAGGCCGGGCCGGGCCGGGCCGCTCATACTGAGATTTTTCCGTTATATTGAAAAGACTCACTTCGCTCGCTGCGCTCGCTCGCTCGTAAAAAGACTCACTTCGCTCGCTGCGCTCGCTCGCTCGTAATAATATTTTTGGTGGGCATACCAAAGCATGTAGGAATTAGGAATAGGCACGGTAGGAACATTTTGAAATAAAATCCAAGTCAGTCTCAGACGACTTAGGTACCAACCGTTTCTTTCTCACAAAATTCGATGGTTTGCCATCGAAATGCTCTAACCCATGCTGATTCCTATTCGCCACTTTCTTCAATCCATGCAAACCCAAGGAACCTTGGGAAAGTTAAGAAATCGATATTGCAGCATAATCCACGCATAGCCCCGAGGTTAACGTTGCACCCACTTGCTGATAGATGAAGGCTTTCACCCGAGCTCAGCAGTGACCGTCTTACCTCGTCTCTGGTGGTGCCGTTGGCTGCCAGCCACACCTGCGTCATCAGCGTGGACATGACGAACGGAGAGATGGCCTCGTTTTTACCAAGGTCGGTCGTCAGCCCCTTCAGCAGCTTCAGGTCCAGATCGCGGGGCACCAGGCCCGGCCCGAGCATCGGCGACAGAGTCGCCAGCATCCAGCTGAATCCTTCGTCAAGAACATCGATGTGTCATTGTTTTAAGTTTTTCTTCATTGTATACCTTACGTTCTTATACATTAAATGCCCATTTTATGTCCGTAAAGCACCTGTCATGGCGAAACAGTAAAGAGGCGTGAAATCTGCACAATGTTTTGACTTAACAGTTCATTAAATTCAATTGATATCTCAAATACACTACCCTTGAGCTTTTGGCAGTTGACAGATGACGGAGATAACAATCAATGAATGCATATCGCGGTGCACCGTGCGAGTGCTATTAAGAAACCCTCAACACAATACCTGTATGCGCATACATATCTTATACGCACCTGGTATGAAGCACGCGAAATCTGAAAAGGGATCAGACATCATCTATCCTATCCCTTCCGTTTGTTTTTAAAGTTGTCTAAGACGAAAAAACGGTCCTAAAGATATGAAGTTTTTAGATTTGAGCGGACTTTGGATATCTGTACCTACTCTAGATAATTGAATACATTACAGTTCTGATAATTGGTACTGTCCAACATGCAGATGCAGCCGTTTGCTTCCAGTTATGCCAACAATATATAAAAACTTACCTGGTATAAAGCACATCATGGTTGTTATATTGAAGATATTTACACTTTTGTCACTTTTTGCATTTAAAGTTCAAAATCAATATCAATGTGCAAAACTCTAGCAGCCCCGTCTTTGTACCTCTCCAGTAATGATTTAGGCCTGTTCTCAGGACAGAGTTCTTTCAACCACACATGGGGTACCTACATGGGTCAGCACGACCAGCTCGGTTAAATATGCCCGTGACGGGCAGCGGCGGTGCTGGCGGCACCTCTGGTCCGTCCATCGCAGGGGCATCACGGGCCAACACATGGGGCCTAGAGAGGGCAAACTGAGTGCACTGTTAGAACATCGCTCAATGTATGCTGAATTTATTATTCTCGCATGCGGGTGAGGATGAGTGTGGTGTTATTGAGGTGATGTTCTTTTCCGTCGTTTGTCGCCGCTGGAGACGTGACTAGCGATTTTTCACTAACACGGCTGTCAGTCATAGCCCGTGAAGAGGGGGTCGGTTGCTGATGCAAAATAGCAGCTGTGAACTGACATTTAGAGAACACTCGCGAACGATTGTTGCAAAACATGTAGGGGAAGATGGGGTAAGACGGACCAGCTAAGGTTTGAGGCCGCATATCTTGCTACACTGCTCTCGTAATTCATTATATTTATAGTCTTCGGAATCTTCGGAAAATTTAGTCTTTACACATATCAACAGAGGAAGGATTGATCCTTCCTCTGTTGATATGTGTAAAGACTAAATTTCAAATTAAAGACATCTAGGTGGTGGATGCTCTTAAAGAGGGACATGTCAAAAACTCAAACAAGAAAAAACGTGGGGTAAGACGGACCACCCAGCAGTGCCTGCTATCCGTTCATGTGTGTTACACTTCTGCTCTGTACTCTTGTAAGAAAAAGTAACCAGAATGGTAAGATAACAAAATGAGCCTTTATTCTTTACTCATGTGTGATGGAAGTGCAGCTAAAAGCTGGCAACATGTGTGTTGATTGTCGTTTGGCATGAATGCATGCTAACTGAGCGCTTGCATGCATGGCTCACATGCAACAAAGACTCCTTCCTGAAAAATTAGCTTACTTAAACTTGTGTCAATGTTTTGGAAAAGAACTTTCCATATGCAGGGTACAATGGACCACCACAGGGTAAGATGGACCACAGTGGTCCGTCTTGCCCCAAATCTAAATTCTGTCATTATCATAACGTATAGGTCAAATAGCCCAACATTGCAAAACCTTGCCTTTCCTAAAGTGTAACTATAACTAAGTTTATAACTTTGTTCTTCACAGTTAAGTGCAAAATAGAAACTAATCATGCAAGAAAGGCGCCGTAATTGAATCACCCGTAGACCTCTTATATTAGATCGGTTTGACGAAAAACAACATTTTTCTCAATAACTCAAAAGCTATGCATCCAAGCAGCATGAGCTCAAGGTGGCCATTGTTACGAAGGAAAACAAACATAGTGAGTGCATAAAGCAGTACCTAGATACCAGCAACGGTTCAGCCGGGAGGGCTGGTGGTCCGTCTTGCCCCGCTGGGCCGTCTTACCCCACCTTCCCCTACCTACACGGATATTTGTGCATGAGGTTTCGAAGAGAGTGAGACAGCGAGCGGATGTCGCCAGCTTTTCATCAGCGACATGCTGCCAGGTTTAGCTGTTTGGCCGCTTTGCAGACCTTTGTAAAACGTCAAAATTTAAGTATAAGTAGTTACTCTATCATTTTCAGTTTACTGTACGGCAAAGTAAAATGAATGTGACACCTGCTAGCGTTGAGAGAGTGCAGAAATATGTCGTCAATTTTGATATACAACGCATTCTAAAAAAAAACGGCCATGAGTTGCCCCATCCCTAACTATTCGTTGTATTCATTTTTGAGTGGTTTGTGAACATTTTACGCATGCTATGCCGCTAGCAATACCTACATAAGGTCGGCATTACATAATGCATTAGGTGTGTATTTACATACATTCTCCATAATGATACCTACATGTGAACATCTGCCATTTTCCAGCCATGAACTTATTTGCGATTTTATTTTGCCTCCTCTCTAAACAGAAACGCGTCATATTTCGGCTTCGTAGCGTAGGTGACATTGCGCAATACCCCGCCCTAATGTCAGTCCATCCCACAAACCACAGTTACCTGGGTCAACCTAGGTCAAGAAGCTGGAGCTGCGGGGTATCGATCCCCGTACCTCTCACATGCTAAGCGAGCGCTCTACCACTTGAGCTACAGCCCCCGATACGTATGTTTGTGTGGATCTCTGTGTGTGTGTCCGGTCCACCCTCAGCCAGTTCTGGACCACGCCCAGTGGGCCACTTTCACTTGGCGCGTCCTCGGTCCGGTCGGCCGTCCACTCGCCAGTGCCACCACGCCTGATAACATTCTGAGAACGAGCCCACATATCCCTGGCCACAGGCTTCAGAGCCATCCGTCTTTATCAACTATCAAGGCTGGGCAAATATGATTAGATTCATGTGACGTATCTAAGCGGCCTTGAATACTTACCTACCGAAAACAAAATGTTACGCATTCTCGACGTTCATTTGCAAGTATGGGCTGATCTTACGTTTAGCACACTTGAGAGAGAGAGAGAGAGAGAGAGAGAGAGAGAGAGAGAGAGAGAGAGAGAGAGAGAGAGAGAGAGGAGAGAGAGAGAGAGTCAGAGTCAGAGGGAATACTCAGATGGGGAAAGGGATGTGTATGGTGTTGTGATTCTCAATTCCCAAGTGGGACATGCCTCATAACCACTGCAGGTCGGATCGCAGCCTGTCGGCGGCTGGGGCCTCGGGCGCTCCGAGTCAGGCTGTTCACATCACATCAGCCTATCGGCAGTTTGACCTCTCTGCAGGGGTGTTACTTTACCGACAGAATCGTTTGACCAGCCGCTGGTCCCCGAGCTTCGCCGAGCTACTATGACAATTGACCGGTCCTGATCTAAAAGGGTCATAATTGAAATGACCTCATTCTAACACAAATACTTGCTCAATTTATGGGTAGGTACTAGGTATTATCTACATACATATGTGACAGGCACTCATGGCTGTCAGGAAATCTGAGAAACAAATCGGTCATACACTTGTGGGTTCAGCAAGGCACATTGCCTAGAAATTGTACTTGTTATGCATTTTGCATTTTATATTACGCTATTCAATCTTTTGATAGTGCGACTTTTTATTGTCAAACATAAGGCAAAAGAGCCCATTTGCTTGCTATCTTCATTTCATCATCACTTCGAACAATCAAAATTTTTCTCACACAATCTCACATTGCTTTAAAACAAATAACACAAGTCATCATGACTCATGAATCAACATCAATCCAAAAGTAATGAATACAAGGAAATGCTAAGGAAGAATGAAACACCTAAGCTCAAGTTTTCGGTCAGTGATCAAGAGAATTTAGTTTAAAAGGACACTAGGTATGTATATAGAGAGAGCTTATGGTCTCGACCTAAGTGGAATCAGCAAATCCCATTCGCAAGTTTTCCGCATCGAACGCCGTGTAAAACTTCTGCATGAACATTGTTCCGAGACTCACGTAGTTGTCGATGAATTGAGGTACCCCGACGAACCCGGAAATACACATCTCCGCACCTCCCTCGAGAGGGATGACAAACACATACTCAAGGGGGCTCATCTCCAGGGAACGGCCAGCGATCGTCATCTTCAAGGAGGGCAGCGTGCTGACGGAGGTGCAGTTGAGTGCGACCACGCCCGGCTGGCCGATGTCTATACCTCCAATCGCATCGTTGACCGTCTTGGCCATCTCCATCGACATGAAGAAGTAGGGGTTGAGGCTGTTGGCGTTGACCAGACAGTTGCCGGTGCAGAGGCTCGTCTCTCCGACGTCAAAGCTCTCCGTCATGACCACCCAGCCGTCGGGGTTCTGCAGGGTGGTCGCCCACACCAGCTCGCCGCTGTAGCGGGCGCTGTTGAGGCCGCCCAGAGACAGCTCCCCTCCGGCTCCGTCCCGGCCCAGCCAGAGGCCCACCAGACGCCGGCCGATCAGGTCCTGCGACTTCATCGTGTCCAGGATGGAGGGAACCCGGTCCGGCTGCAGCGAGAAGCCCAGCCCCAGCACGCCGTCGTTGGGCGCCTGCACGGAGTAGCTGTTCCAGACGGCTGTGGCCTCGCCGAACGTCTGGCCATGCACGGTGGCGCCAGCCACGCTGATGGAGTCCTTGGAGAGCACGCCGCTGGCGTTCTGTCCGTACGGCAGCTCGAACGGAGTGCCGTCAGCCTAAAAATGTAAAAGATTGCTTTGTCAGCTATGTTGTTGAATTCCAACAGGCTGCGTTATCGTGAAGAGTTTTGATTCAGTTTACAGTTACAAGGCTAAACAATAAAATTGGAGGCAAAGATGAGTTAGTAACTTTTCAGCACCTCTGTGGGTATGCGAACTCAGACTTCTGAAGGCCCAGAGCTCGGATTCATCCGTTTTCTCGCAAAATACGCCCTTAGTAACTAAGTGCTTTCAGCGCAGGGAGACTGACTGAAGTCATACAGCGCTCACCTCCTATGTAGAATACGACGTGATAGCTCTCCCTGTATAATGTATACGAGGGATGGAGCGATATGAGGGATAGTGATAGCTCACATCGTAAGCGGAGTACGAACGGATTTGGCTGCTCAACTTTACGAAGGACCAGGGCAGTCAGTAGCTCATCTCGTACGAAGCACGAACGGATCTTGCAGCCCACCGCGTATGAAACACAAACGCGTTTGGAAGCTCACCTATATGGGGCACGAATGTAGTTGGTAGCTCACCTCGTACGTGGAGGAGGCGGCGGAGTCGTAGCGGCGGTGTCCCGTGCAGAACGGGTCGCTGCAGTTGACCGATGGCACGTAGGTCAGCCGGCTACTGATGTCCACAGTGACGGTCATGGACTGATCGGGGGTGCCTATCCCGATCACACCCACAAACGACTGCTGGCCCTGGAAACGGGAGAGCGAGAGGGGGCATTGTGAGGTGTGATTGGGGTCTGAGATGTTCACCAAACAATTACTCTCATTCTTTACAACCATTTTCTAGTCACATCCTATACCCTCGAAAGGAAAGTTAACCTTTGGTGATTGAGCATCTGAGAATGACTTTAGCGTGAATTGCATATTAATTTAATCATGTAATATTATTTCTTCGATTACTTCACACTATTCGGAATATCACAGCGGTACGAGTTGAAGAAGAAATGGCCATTTCACAGTCAATTTCAGATTGCGAGGCAAGAGCTTACTACCATAGACATAAGTCATAAACTCACGTTGACAAGGACGTCTTTCAGCGGCAAAGAGATGACGCTATATCCAGTGGTGTCGGGCACGGCTGCCGCCTGCAGGGCGCCGAGACACGCCAGGGCCAGTAGAACACGCAGCATGGCGACTCTGTGAACGGAGCAGTAACGAGCGTGAGCTAGAGCTTACAACTATAGTTATGGTTTAATTAACGGACAAATTCACTCGATATCAAATCTGCTCAATGAAAAAGTCACCGATACTGATATGCATGTGGTATACGACATCGAATCACACGAATCAGATATACGAGAATAGCTTTCAAGAAAAGAGACCAACACTACTCTTTTCAACACCTACCTGTGAGTGTGTGTGTGTGTGTGTGTGTGCGCAGCTCCAAGAGCAGTCACCTTCACCACCCTCGGCGACGAACTGATGAGGACCGAGACCAGTGCGGCTCACTTATAACCCCCCTCCCCGGCGGACCCCTACTGATAGCGATGACACCACGATACAGCCCGTGCGGCGTGCGTGATGACGCGAGTGCAGAAGTGCCTCCCTGCACGGACCTGACGTCCGGCACTCGACCTGAGTGGCATCCACTCAGACAGACATACATCTCAAGACGGGTGTGCATTATCGCTTCTTCTCAAACCTGTCCGGACAAGTCACGCGCGGAGATAGAAGCCCTCCTCTCATCATCTAGCTGGGTTTGTGAATCATAGAGATAAGCCCATTGAATCTCTCGTCCGACGGCATGGTAGTCATACAACTAGCTTGGTAATGCAAATCTGGATACACATATAATTGCACACACATTTCGTCAGGTTGCTTTGTTGAGGTAGCGTTTGTTCCATAGTTCCGGATGGTCACTGGCACAAATACCTAGATATCAAAAGAATCACCTCGTTTTTATCTCAGCTGGCATCTGTTAACGCTCAAATGAAAGCTTGCAGAATATTCAGGCTGAAAATCGTCTCTTTACCTATAATCTGGATATTTTACCTGCAATATATTTATAACCTGAGGTTTGTTTCAGAAGAATAATGCTATCAATTTAGTCATGAGTGTATGATATTTATTATTTCCCAGACATATCTAAGCACGAAGGCCAGGGAAACACTAGGATACCGTTAGATTGTGTTTCTATCTCGATCTCTAGCAGCAATCGCCTAAAATAGCGCGTAAGTACTTATCATTCTATGATGTGACAACAAGTGTCGGTGGACATCCCTGTACGAGATATGGTGTAATATTATGTTGAGTTTGAGATCAGAAATCGGCATTTCCTTGAGTGAGAGCTATACGTAAGAGTTATCAGTGACGCGTTTGAAAACTTTGTCGGATTGGATTGATGGGTAGCCCTCTTGTCAAGTATGACGTCAAACGACATGGGGCGTTCCTCGTCAATAGGTAAATCGTCATATCGGTGTTTATGACTTAAATAAAACATTCCCGAGTAACTGTTAACATTTGGTTCAGAAAGAATAGCCATATATTTAATTCTATTAAAAGCATGCCTACTCAGTATAACTTTAACAACTTCACGCACCACCTATGTAGTTGACAGTCGTTTTTACTTACAGGGTGGAAAGTAATTACGCGAACATGTATTTTCTTACAATTTCGCCCGTCAGTGGAAATTTTGTATGAGCGCGGGCTGTTATGGAACATGACTGGTCGTGTTTGTTGTCGCCTCATCTAACAAAAGTGACCTTACTTTGAAAAATGACTTGGAAGGTCTACAACACCCCTCGGCTTCGAGTGGTGCTGACGCCATACGCTGCTCAAGACCAAAATGGGCAAAGAGCTCAATTTGAAGTTGCCAGGGAAAGCGTTTGTGATTATTTTGGCTGGATTGGTGCGGAAGGGACTCGGAACGGTCTCGGCACCAGCATTACTCAATTACACCTTTGGTTGAAGCATAATAAAACTTAAGAGGACTTAAAAAGCAAAGCCGTTGGCGGCAGTAAAACCTCGGCGAATTCAGGCGCCGAATGGGTGGTCACCATTTCCGCGACCAAACGACAACAGTCGACCCGAAAACAGGCGAAATGGTTTACTTTGGCCGGGTACCCGATCTAAGATATCACGATTCATACATAAATACGTGAAAATTCGAAAATCAAGCCGTACAAACAATCGAGATGGCCAAAATTCATGAATTAACAGCAGGATTGTCAATTTAAGTTTTCTAAAGACCGCCAAACCTGAACGGAGGAGGACAGGCAGCTGGCTTTGTGGTTGGGTGAGACATCTTCGAAGCTATTTCATCCGTCAAACCTGCAGAACAACGCGTTGGGGGCTGCTGATGCGTCCGACGTCCCGCCCGTCCCAACCTTCAAACATCCGGCAAAGGAACACACATCAGCGTGTTATGAGCGCCCGGATAGTGTCAGAATTGCATATAGTGACCAACAAGGCCACCAAAAATAAAGTATACAACTAGTGGAACATCCTTCCAGACGAGTCTCTTTATCTAATCCATCAATGCACCAAAAGGGGCAAAATGATTGAGCGCACTTTTGTCCCCGACGCAAAGAAACTTTTCTTCATGATTGATAAAGTCCTTCCTCTCACGGCCAAAACGACGCAAGACTGGTGCTTTGAGAACCCGTTCTTCTTCTGGGCATATAATGGTCAATCTGGGAATAGCCCAGACCTCAATTTGATCAAAAATATCCAGGCGACTCTTCAGGAGAGCGTCTAAGAGCTGCTAGTAGCCACCAACATCGATTGCCTCACCAGACAGCTCCAGGAGGCGTGGACTAAGCTTTGGCCAACAGTGCTTGACATGCTCATGTCAATTATGCCTGAACGCCTTTGTCAGTGTATCGCACATAAATAGGAATATATGAAAAGATGAAATTTTCATGTTACCGCCGCTTTTTCCATTGCTATAAGACGAAAAAGTATGTTCGCGTAATTACTTTCCACCCTGTACCTACGTACAGTGGATCTAGTAAGGATCTCCAGACGTTACTAGATGGCGTTGAGCCTCAGTCGAGTCCATGTCAAATTCAAGGGGAGGTCAGTACCGAGCTGGGCCCGATGGGGGGGGGGGGCGGTTGGCGAGGTCACGGTGCGGGTGACCTGTCAAACAGCCCCGGCTCGGTGGGGCACTGCCGCAGGCAAATGGCGCACTCCAGTGTTGTTCCATATTGCGGTGGTGGGCCGGGCGGCCGGTTAGCTTGGCTGCTTGGAGGAAAGGATGAGGCATGGGTTTGCTGTGGCCGGTTCATCTACTGTCTACTATGATGAACCCAAAGTAATGCAAATATGATGTTGGTAATGCAGCTGGCAATGGAATGCTAGCGAATGCTCCGAGCGCCCGAAGGATTAAGATTATTTATGTCTCCTGAAATTTTCATTGAATATAATTCAAGCACCAGAAATATCGTATCGTTTGCCAATTTTTTGACCGGCTGGCGTTTCTTGCGTAGAGCGCCCTTGGGCAAATAATTATCACGCAGGTGATTTATTTTTTGCTGGTAAGATTTAAGGTCAAATCAAGTCGCTGAGAGGAGATGAGGAAAAGCGGACGAATGCCACATTTTTGTGCATAAAGTCTCGATTAAAAAAAGCTTAAAATTATTATACGTGTAAGATAAAGAACAGTTAATAAAACAAGATCAGTTAATAAAAATATTTGACCCGAAATTGGCCTCTGTCTTCTCTGACCATGATTGCGTGTAAGACAGAGGTCCAACCGGGTTCAACCCGACCCAACATGGTTCGGCTCCCCCTTTTTTAATATAAATTTGGCCCGAACCTTTTGAATTAAAGGAATCATAAGGAAAGAGTCCCCGCTAAGCTGAGCTTGTTGCGTTGACCCTACCCTCTACCCTCCGATCAAGCAATTCCTGGTCTATGGCAGAAGTTAGAGTCCAAAGTTTAACGTGCGCACATAGCCGCGCACGGCCGATCCCCTCACTGACTTCGCCTGGCAGCGGCCTGCCACCAACCACAACCATGCCCGTCAGGAGCTCAAAAACGTAAAGCACACGTCGCGTTTCGAACCCGGACTTTTGCAACCGGGACGTGCGCTCTCACCACACGGAGTCCAACGCCCTACCGACCGAGCTACCGGGACGGACATTTACCTAGGGGCTTCGCCTCGTGACATTGACAGACGTCAGACACTTTGGCCTAACTATAGCCGTAGCACTGAGCAAGCTGCGCGGGGTGATAGGTGCTCGTAGCGCTTAGGTTGGGTAACCTGTGAGCTGAACGCGATGTCGTGAGTTCGAGCCCCACTCCCGGGAGCTTTTTTAAGTCGACAGAATTGTCGACTAAAAAAAAAAAACAGACCCGGGAGGGTCTGGTTTTATCTCACGAACACGAACCAAAACCTTTTCTTCTACTGCAACACAGACAAGCACGATGACATCTTTCGCCAACATCCATCCCCAAAAACCTCTCAAAAAAGTCAAAGTTATCGCTTTAAATGTCTAGCTAAGTTTCATTTTTAAAGAAAATATTTTTGGTCATTTTTCCGGAGCCATTTTAACTCTTTCTTTTCGGATTCTATTCGACCCGATAAAACTCATCAAAACTGAACGTGCCAAATGAAAAAAATACCCAACTCAAATAACATTTTAGAAAAGCCTAAGACTGTCATCATGCAAATATCGACTGAATAGTTGCATGCTATTAATGCGTCCTAGATTTCAATTATCATTGTTCAAGATTTTGGCTGGAACTGGCGCTGCCTCTCGCTTGTCCGTTTGTTTGAGATAATGATTCCCTTCAGTCGCATTCTTGCTGGTTCCACATGAACAGGATACCACCATACCGGAGTGAACGCACCCGCAACCATCATCCCCTCCCCTCAGCCTCGGCGCAGTGGCGGGCGGCCCTGGGCGGCCCACTCCCGGCGCTACGCACGCCCCATGCGCCGTGATACCGCGTCACTCCCCCTCCCCCTCCCTCCTTCCCCCACAATGACCGGTGACCTCACTTCCCTCGGGATTTGGACTCGCCCTACCCCGACCGTAGCGCCACGTGGTGGCTCTGGAGATCTTAAATAGACCCACTGTACAGTCAATAAATATGTGTTTTACAATACACTTCGAAAGTAAAAATTCAAAAACATTAAGTCCTAAAACAACACGAAGAATATAAAACGAGGAAGCACAATACGTATTCGTTGAAATTATTAGTTTTAAAAAGATACTCGATGCGACGTGATTTTGTGACACAGTACCATGGTGATAACTGTCAATTACCATCAACCACTTTGCGTGATGAGTGAAGATCGGAGAGGGAGGCAGAAGAAAAAGAGAGGAAGTGAGACAGAGAACAAGACAGGGTCACACAGACACGGGAATATGCTCCCTCTAGTTGCCACACAAACTGCTGTTTGATCTTGACACGAAAAGGATGTCAATTTCAAAGCGGGATTCAGAGTGACTTAACATTTTAAAACATCAGTATACCTAAAGCGTGTGAGCAAAGCACATCCTTCCTTCGTTACTAATCCTTGGCCGTACGGATCATCATCAGCGACTTGACGATCTTCTTTTCTCCCCAGTCGGGCCAGTACATGGCTCTGGGCCGGTACAGCCTCGACTCGTTCGGGGTGCCGTTCAGACTGACGCCCCTGCACCGGAGGTACCACCAGCCACCGCCGAGACGCAGGGCACAGTTGTTCTCCGTCGAGTCCTGGTCCTTGTCGTAAGTGGAAAACTTACAATCATAGTGCGTGGCGCTCATGGCGGCGCCGAGACCGCCCAGGGACGACTGGTAGCCGTCCACGGTCAGGGTGAAGCCCTGCTCCTCGGGGGCCAGCCGGAAGGTGTCGTACACGGCGTAGTCCCAGGCGCCGCTCTCGTCCTGCAGGGCGATGCGCAGCGCCTGCTCGCCGCCGCCCAGCTGTATGATCTCGCGAATGTTGCGCAGTCCGAGCCAGTGGTTGTCGGAGACGCTGCCGAACGTCCTCAGGTACTCGTTCCAGGAGCGGTTGAAGTTACCGCCGTTCTGGATAGCCAGATCTCTCGCCTGGATCACCGTCCAGCCGTGGCCGTCCTCGGCCATTTCGCAGCGCGCCCAGAACTCCCGGTGACCATCATCCTCGGTGGGGTGTCGCAGTAGACAGACGCCGCTCTCTTGGACACCGGCCGAGCGCACCTGGTCGCACGTCTGAAACCAGCACGGCTCGCCGGCGGCTCTCTCCAGACAGTGGCAGCTGCCGTCGGCACGCAGCCCGGCCGCGCACACGCACGTGTTGTCGTGGCAGACGGCGCCGGCGGTGACGCACTCGGAGAAGTGTGAGCAGAAGTCGCCCAGGTGGCTGCGGCCCATGCGCTCCCAGAACACACTGGAGATGGACGGCAGGTTCAGCTCCGCGTGACCACGCCGACGGCCCAGACGACACGTAATAGGGCTAGAGGTGATCTGCTCAGACGGGGTTCTGTCGCCATCCTCACCGATGTTTGATGCCAGCCTAACGACGCTGTTTTCAGAATCAACAACCTGAGGAAGGAAAGCGAAATAGTTGGTAAAAACTGCAAGTCACGGCATTTTTGAATAACGAGAGCCTTGAAACATATGTACCTACGATTATGATAGTTTCGTTACTTATGCAAAACATACAACATTTTTGTTTAATTTGTTTATATGTAAGTGCATAAGGGCTGCGGAAGCAAGTCACCCCAACCCCCAGTCACGTCTGGCGGAATCCAGCACCTCTTTGGTGATGCTGACGCTGAGGCAGTCGTGTCTGGCGAGGCAAGCCTGCTGGCAGGCGCACTCCGAGGCGGCGGTGAACTCGGCCAGAACCATAGAGGAAGGCAGCTGCGAGTGCACCGCTGGCTCGAACACACGCATCTTCATGATGGCGGCATCCACGGGGCCGTCGGTCGCCTGGCAGGAGGCGCGCTGTGAGGCCAGCAGCAGCAGGGCGACTCGGCCGGACCAGGCCAGGACCGCGGCCGTCCCGTCTGCGGCCATCACTGCCAGCCGGTGTTGGGCGAGGTTAAAGACAAAGTTACACAGTTTGGAGATCGGCGTCTAAAAAGCCTTAATAATAAATCGATTCAAAGTACATACTTCGAGTCCGCGACAATTACAATTTGCCCTCTTTTTATCTGGTTTATGCTTCGCAAAGCAAGTTTATAGAGGTTGTCATGAAAAGTTATTACATCGCGCTCTAACGTAGTAACAGATAACTTTTAAGGCAAAAGCTGCCCATTTCTCCCACAATTTGAGGTATTTACTTTCAGCTACACTCAGGTTCTGATTACCCACCTGGATGTATCTGATAATACACTTCACCCGGAGCTCTGGACGATGAAGTCTTAGCCCCAGCACACCCGTCCCTGTGCCCCAGACTGAGGCGAGTGAAGGGAGCGGCACTTCTGCACCTCTGCTGCGATCGCAAAGTAGAAACATTCCACAATGTAGCTAAAAGGTAGAGCTGTGTAATTTATAAGGTGGAATATCCTTCATTGTGTCACATTCTGATATCACCAGAGTCCGATACATATGCAATGTACAAATGACATGCATAGCGTCACATACGAACGTAAGGTCCTATCAGGTGCATTTTTAACAGCTGCCCCGTGTATTTCATTCGTTTGTTGTAATGACGTTATGGCAACGTCGTCTGTCGCAGTCTGTCCAGACAATCGAACTTCCAACGGCCGCCACTTCACTTCAATAATTTACCCAAGCAACGAAGGGGTCTTGAGCCGACCGCACCACACTGGGGTGGGGGTGGTGTGTGTGTGTGTGGGGGGGGGGGGGGTTGGATATGAGGCCATCGAGCTTACTCCGGAATCGTTCACGATTACGCCAATCAAAATCTCTCAGTAATATGCCAGCTAGCGTATATTTGATGCGTAAGGTATGTAGGACATTCCAAAAGTATCAGCCTGTAAGCTCAAAGTCAATATCTAATCAATATCGCTTTCAATAGCCGACAATCGGGTGCGAGAGCTCAGATTAAGTAGCGGGTTTCCTGCTCATTTGCTTTCGAAGCAGTAGCGGCGGAACATCTTCAATTAAGGGGGGGGGCACTGCCGACTTTTGGTCCCATTCTTTCCATGCAACGCCCATAGGGCTAATGTTAAAATACCAAAATCAAAGGGGGCACGGTGCCCCGGTGCCCTCCCTGTTCCGCCGCCTATGTTTCGAAGGTTCCCATCTGAGAAGGGAACGTAGGTATCAGGGCTATATAAAGTCGAATGAATGACAAAACCACCTGTGTTGTTGGCAATGGACGTCCTATCACCAGCATAGATAGGCACCTACTCATCAGTAGCGAAACACGAAGTGAAGACGCTGTGCTTGAAGTCCATGTAACAGCACTTCTTGTTTGTTTTTGTTTTGTTGGGTTAGGCCCTTTCGGTCTGACAAGACCATTTCAGAGCCGGAAGGATGATAGGAATTAGGGGGAGACATTGGTCTGGGCAGGCACCCTAGAGAGTCGCCGGGGCTGAGCCCGTCCAAATGGACAGGCCAACCAGCCCCCCAAGCACTCTCTGCACCCGGCTACGGGGTGCAGCTCCCTCGGGAGCAGCGGTGCCGCTCCAAGGGAGCAGCCCGCATGAGATAAAGTTGCCTGTCCAGCCCGGAGGAGGGTTGCGGCGTTGGGGAGAAGGATTTCAGTATCCTGAGGATAGAAGCACGGAACGGTGTGAACAGCACTTCACACAGCATCAACTGGTCGTTCCAGCCTAATAGGAGATCGCTCGTGAGTCGTGGGCCCGTGACCGTCACGCGAAACGAGCGCTCGCAGCGTCATCTATTTCGCCACCGTGTTCTCCGTGTGGTGGGAGCATCAAACAGCATGTTATATGGGACGAAGAGGTCTGGCTGACCCTTCGAGAATAAAAACGTGTAAATAATTAAGATGTTCAATGCTTTTTTATGAAGAAATAGTATGCCGTGCTTTAGCGACGAACATCTTGATGTATGTAGCTAGAATTTCAAATGACCTGTTCCTCGATAATTAATTGGAAATTCAATAAAAAGCAAATATTATATTGTCTGGCAAATTTTCGAACCACAGTTCATTCTCAAGCCACATAAAACAATTGACAATTGTCAATTGTTGTCAATTGTTTCATGTGGCTTGAGAATGAACGGTGGTTCGAAAATTTGCCAAACAATATAATATTTGCTTTTTAATGCATTTTCAATTAGGATTATCGAGGACAAGGTCATTTGAAATTCTAACTAAACATTTCAGTTTTATGCACTCATCACTACCAAAACGTACGCAAGCACGCGAAAAAAATGAACCCAAACGATTATGAGTGTGATTAGAACGTTACGGTAAAAATAAGGAGACCACACGACTGGATATCATGACTGGATTCACATGACTGGATATGTTACATCCTAATCAATAAAAAAAAAATTGTTAATATTTTTCGGTGTGATGTGTCTTGGCAGCCTACCTACTTGCTGAACGGAGCGAACTGCTGCCGAGAGGCAACAGCTTTCGTGGCAGAAGGGAAAACCAACAACAACACCTACCGAGAACCACGGAACCGCACTGGCTTGATGGCCAGCATGATGTGGTCGACGTCTGGAAACCCCAAAGCACAACAACCGCAACTAATGCACAGTGCACAGCAACCAAAGTCAATTTAGGACATATCAGGACTGAAACGGTGGCGATGACAATGACATTGGCCCAATGCCCCCATAAAGAATTATGGCTGCATAAAATAATGACACAGCAAAGAACCAGCAATCGCCTTTATTGAGTTGCTGTGCTAAGAGGGCTATAAGGTTCAAATCGCGCCACCGAAATGTCAAAAGTAAAAACATTTCACGCCATGCTGGCCTGTCACGCTGAGTGCACCACTGTGGTCTGTCATTTTTCCACGGACCACTGTGCAGCCGGTCGGGGTACAAACGACGTGTCAGTGACTGCTGGCGACATTTGCGCACCGCTCCACCTGTCGAGAGGACGCTCTACAGGCGCTGTGAACCTCTCTGAACCTCATCTCACTTGCTCGGCGTTCAGGAACCCCTGACTGCTACTTCAACGGCTCGAAATTGGCGATAAGTGACATCATGTTACCTTCAATTCATAACATCGGTACGTACAAAAAAAAAAAAAAAAAATAGCATACCGAACTGCATGTATAGGCTAGCCAAACCAAATAAGCATTAAAAATAGGGACGTTCCGACAAAATAATTAGTATCATTTTATTCGTGGTACCTAATGTTGGTTTTCTACATCCTACTTTGAATTTTCAGCTAGGGCAAAGCAGCGTTCTGTGCCTACATCTGTATTAATTTATTTTCATGAATTAGAATAGACCGTACTCCGTTTTCTTTTTTCAGTTCACATTTGGCTCATCGCCCTCCTGGCGTCCACCGGCGGCTGCTACGTCCAGCCCACCGGAGTGTTGAACGGCCTGGACCTGAAGCTGCTGAAGGCGGTGACCAGCGACCTCAGCGCCAACAGGCCCGTGTCCCCGTTCGTCATGTCCACCCTGCTCAGCCAGGTCTGGCTGGGCGCCAGAGGCGTCACCAGGAGCGAGGTAAGGGCGGACAGAGAGGGGGTAATATCGGACGGGGTGGGCAGGGCGCGTGACCACTAGCTGCAACATAGCATTGGTGAGAAAACAGCTAAATAAGTCCACCTAATACCGGTCCCGGTCCCGTAGCTCAGTCGGTAGAGCGTTGGACTCCACGTAGTGAGAGCACGCGTTCCCGGTTACAACAGTCCGGGTTCGAAGCGCGACGGGCGCTTGACGTTTATGGGCCTCCTGGCAGGTATGGTTGCAGTTAGTGGCAGGCCGTAGGCAGGTGACCGGCCGTGTGCAGCTATGTGCGCACGTTAAACTTTGGACTCTAAATTCTGCCACAGAACCGGAATTGCGTGATCGGAGGGTAGAGGGCAGGGTTAACGCAACAAGCTTCGCTTAGCGGGGCTTTGTCCTTGTAAATCCTTCTAATGAAAAAGTTCGGACGAAATTAATTTAGAAAAAAATAAAATAAATACAGTCCGATCGCTACCTGATACAGCCTTGGCTGCTCACTTGATATCTTTTTCGCTTCAGATGACTCCAGTGCTAGGCGTGAGGCCGAATGCGCCGGATTCGTTCCTGCCTTCCTACAAATCAGCCATCACCTACTTATCGACCACGTCTGCAAACGTCAACACATCAGTCTTCAATGGGATTTACGTGAAGGACGATACCACCGTTAAGCAGTCGTTTGCCGACAACCTGCAGACGTACTATGGAGCTGAGGTGAACCAGTTCTCCACAGCTAAGGAGGCTGCCGACGACATAAACGCCGCCGTAGCGCAAACAACCAACAACCTGATCAGGGACCTTGTCTCCAAGGATGGGTTGCGAGGCGTCAAAATGGTACTGGTTAGCGCTCTGTATTTCAAAGCTCTGTGGTTAGACCAATTTCCCGACATGAACACAAAACAAGAAGATTTTCTTACAAACAATGGAATTAAACAGGTGCCCATGATGAAATTAAAGCAGAAGTACAAGAACTATGTAAAAATCGCTGGTAAGTTTGACGCCATTTCGCTCCCATATCGCGATACTGATTACAGCATGGTGATTCTGAGACCCCTGAGTCGGAGCATGTCAGCCGTTCAGACAATGCTAAACTCGCTGGATTCAGTCGATCTCGCTCAGCTCACATCCCAGATGCAGTCGAAAGTATGTGACGTCCATATGCCTCGATTTGAGATGAAGGCTAAGTATGCTAACCTGAAAGGCGAGTTCCAATCGATGGGAATGAACAGAGTGTTTTCAAACATGGCCGATCTCAGCGGCATATCCACGGCATCTCTCAAGGTTGATCAGATCATTCTGGAAGTGTTCATGAACGTCACTGAAGT